GGTGTTTACAATTTACTGTCAGTTCATATCTTTGATTTAAGAGATCAGCCTTGTTTTTAAATCTAATAATTTCAAATTTTTCATTAAGGCATAGGTAACATGGGGTATATAGGGAGTTACATGTACACAGAGCTTTCTTAACCAAACTCCATTTAATCGTAGGTGTTTTGTTCTTATCTTTTAGATTCCATATATTATATATATATATGGTCCTATCGCTACACAGGAATTACCATGTTCCAAAAACAAACTAAAACTTTACATTTAATTATAAAATTAAATTAAAATCCCTAGTACTGTTTCATTTTCATTTAAAATAATTTCATAGAAATTTACTGAGTTTATGTAAAACAATCTTGATATTATTAGTTTTAATAATCATTATTTTAATGTTTTTCTCTGCAGAATTTATTCCACATTATTTTTAAAAATAAAAATAATTCATAAGAACACTAGATTATAAATCTTAGTTTTTCCTCATTTTATATATATATATATATATATATATCTTTTGGTGTAAGTAAAACAGTGCTCAATGCAAAATAAGAGCTATTAAGTATATATTAATAGATTTACATAATACCCCATAAGTATATGAAATATTTTTCCAAAGAAAGTAATGGATTTTTATTAATCCAACAGATTTTTCATCATTTTAAATGTTATTTTTAGTGAATAGCCATATTTGAGTAAACACGCCACTTATTTATTAAACAGTATATTTATTTTTGTCTACTGGCCTGAATGTTTGAGAAATCTTCTGAAATAAAAATTTATGCTTTCTGGTAGGATTTGAACCTGCATCCCTCTGGGAAAAGAGAGTTATTAAATCTGATATGCTCTGGCTAACTGAGTTACAAAGAACTAATTAGTCAGGCAAGGCCAAATCGTACCTGTAAGGGAAAACTTCTCTTGTCCTAGATCTCTTATTTTCTGCAGTTCTTTTAAAAATGTCAGCAAAGTGAATTTTAGAGAAAGTAATGGGTTTTTATTAATGTGACAGATATTTTTTATTACTTTTAACATTTTTAGTAGATACTTATATTTCAGTATATTTATTTATTTTTCTCTACTGGCATGAATGTTTGAAAGAAAAGATTTCACCAACAAGTGAATCACTAATCTTCAAATGGCAAGGTATCATCTCAGGCCATTCCTGCACCTGGATTCTTTGGCCTGGTATGAAATTGAGTGCAAGCACCTATTTCAGCATTACACACACACACACACATATATATATATATATATATATATATATATATATATAAATTTATGCAAGTTTCATTAAATATGACAGACAAGGTGCTTTAAGTTTTTTATATAATTGCTCATATGACCTTATAATTTTTTTTACACTTGATAAATTATACAAAAACTGTCCAAATGTTATATTTTTCCGAGTGCTTTCAGCTATCCATTTAGTCATTTTCAAGGATGAAATATATTAACTGTTAACTGGAAATAGATTGTTTATGTATGTATTTAGTATTATAGAATGCTTTATTTTCAAAACACAGCAAACATATTGTGTCCATGTTCATAGTTGATATTATTGAGTGTTGGTCTTTTTTTGCTTTTATTAATAAAACTTCCATTATTTTTACCCTTTTTTTTTTTACATGTAAGATGATGCTATTATATTTGTGTTATCAACAAGTATGTTACGAAGTAGGTCTCTATGAGTATTTAAATGAGATCTAATTGAGCTATGGTCAGAAAGATGTAGCGTGAGTCTTGTTAAACATGTTGTGTTGTGTCCAATATAGTTGTTTACGAATTTCGATTTTCCAAACACAGCATGTTGTGGCTGTGTTCATAGCTGAGGTCATTGAGTGTTGGCTTTTTGTTTTTATTATTAATGCTTCCATTGTTTTTAGCTGCTTTTTACATGTGGATGAGGTTATTAATGTTTGGTAGGTTTCCATGTGTATTTAAGCTAGTATCAACTACATCATAGGATCCCTCAAGCTTTTATAAAGCAATTGATTTTAATTTTCTAGATGTTATAACTTCTAAATAGTTCATAAACTGAAATGATATCAATAGGACAGACTTTATTTTGATTGTTTTATTGTTATAATTCTGGTTTTAAAAAATCAGTTTTTATTCTGGTTGTGTTGAAATATGTGCTAATTTGGTTTGCAATAAATATTAAAATAGTGATATTTCTAAAATGTTTTTATTGACAGATTGATAGCTATTCTAGTTTATTTAGGGAATTTGCAATACATTTGCTTTCAGCCATGTGAATGTCATTAAAATATATCATGAGAGAAAAAAAACCCATTTAAGACAGGTGTAGGCAAGTGAGAGGGCCTCTTTGCCTGAGAGGAGCCCTATAATTTCATTAACCCAGGGGACCCAGAACATTAAAATTCAGCCATATATATGTATGTATGTATGTGTGTGTGTGTGTATATATATATATATATATATAATGTAGTGTCGCCATTTTAAATTTTGTGCATGCACATTGTTTTTGATTTTGTTGACTGCACAGTATAGTAGGGTCAGTTGGGTACTGTCTGAGAAAAAAGCACCAGAAATTTGGAAGTAGCATACTGCACTGCTTGGCATTCACACCAAAAGCACCAATACAAACATTTCAGTGTGTCTGGGTGTCAATCTAAGGTCAGTGCAGAGGATTTGGAAAGAGTTTGATGAGTCTAATGGTGATTACGAAGGTACAGCAGCTTGGAAAACTCAATCTGATTGTTCTGAAAAGAACTCCCAAAGAAGACTCTGTAGAATCTAATATTCCCATAGAGATATCAAAGTGATCATCAGTTTTTAACCCACTGTTCATTGTTGTTAATGAGAACAGTTCATTATTATATTTAGGTCTTCACTGGAAATGTTAGAGTATTCCTTGGCAAATTTGAAAGCTAAAGTAAAAAGATCCTTGGAAATGAAGAGGTAAAAATCCACAATATCAAATTGGATAAAAGAGCACCTTCTTTTGTTGTTAATTCCTTTGAATCAATTAATGACATCTGCAGTACGAGTCCATTGCAAAAGTCCAAGGAGAGTTTTCTGACCTGGTGGGGTTATTTATCCTATATAATCTTAGCACTTATGATTATGTTAATGTTTATAATATAGGGTTATACAGAGACGATGGTCTTATGGTAGTAAGAAACCTTACTAAAATTAAGGTTGACAAATCAAGGAAAATGATTTATAGGGAATCAAAAAGCTTAAATCTTAAGGTTAAGTTTGCTACTAATGTTAAATGAGTTGATTTTCTTCATATGTTAGATCTTGTTAATGACGTTATTCCAACCTTATATGAAAAATAATGCTAACCTAATATATATTCACTTCAATTCTAACCACCCTCCATATGTAATCAAACATATACCCTCATCTATAGAATGTAGGATTAGCAACATCTCATCTGACAAAAATGTGTTTGATAAATGCAGTAGTGTTTATAATACTGTTTTAAAAAATGGTGGTTGAAATCAAGTATAGAAAATATGATAATATTGATCTAAGGAACAGGAAAATCATTTGATACACACCCTCATTTAACCAATTAGTCAATACTAAGTTAGGCCAGAAGTTCCTTTATTTAATTGATAAACATTTCCCTAGAAATAACCTTCTTAGTAAAATATTTAACAGAAACACACTAAAACTAAGTTATAGCTGCACTAATAAACTTGAAGATTATAAAGAAACATTAATAATAAAATTTTAAACTAATTTAAAAATTTGGATAATAATACACATCAAAAAATAAATTTTGTTGAAAATATTAACCAATGTAATTGCAAAAATTCTAACATGCCCATTACAAAACCAATGTTTAACCACTTCTCTTGTTTATCTATTTCTACAATAGAGAATCCAACTGTTGAATAATTTTATATTGGTAGTACTAAGAATTCTTTTAAGACTAGGTGGTATCAATATATTTTATCCTTCACCAATAATACTTATAAAAATAGTACATCTCTTTCTAAATATTTTTAGAATTTAAAAGAACCTAATAAAACTCCAATGGTAAAATAGAAAATTTCAAAAAAGCTAGAACATGATGATCTTTAAATGAACTCTGTTTTCTATGCTTATATGAAAAATTAGAAATTATCAGATTTTCTTATAAAAAACTTTGCATTAAACCAAGGAAGTGAATTGACTGTAAATTGTAGGCATAGCCTACCTTTTACCTTACAATATGTTTAAACTTTGAATTCGATAATACTTTTTCTTATAGCAATAATCAGATGAACTGGCTTACTATTTTATTTGTAAAATTTATTTTGATTTAATATTGCTTTGTATTATTTAGTATTATTAGCATCTTATATGGATGTACAAGTGTTTAGTTATTATTATTAACATCTTACATGGATTAGTTGGTATTAACAACATCTTATATGGATGCTCTTTATTTAATGGTTGCATATTAATTTGGCAAAAGAATTCTGTATTTTTTTTTTTTTTTTTTTTTAAATGGTTAAGTTCTTCATCAGTTTTGTAAAGTGCATCATTTGTTCATCATTTTTCCAGTGGGTTTGAAATTAACATAGGTCACATTCGATTGGTTAATCATGGCAAAGCCGACAAGCCTATTTTTTTTTGTTTTTTAAAGTATTCTGCTTTTGAAATTAAATTAATCTTTTGCTTGCCAGTGGTTTAGCATTACCTGAGGAGACACATTTGTAGTGTTGAAACATGATTGTAATTGTGTAGTGATTTTTAACGTGTTTATGTTTAATATCCTAAAATAAATAATATTTAACTCTTCTATGTATTGAGCCCTCTTTTAAATTAAATGTTACATACAGTGGAATTATACACCATTTGTTCTCAGTTTACGTGTGTGTGTGTGTGTGTGTGTGTGTGTGTGTGTGTGTGTGTGTGTGTGTGTGTATATATATATATATATATATATATATATATATATATATATATATATATGCATTTCTGTTATGTTTTTTAACAATTTTGTTATTTTATTTTCCAGGAAATTGGATTTTCAAACTTTGAAGTGAATTTTGCTTACTTTATCAATTTGCTTGAAACAGAAGGCTTTGCTTCTGCACTTGAATTTGGTGAGTGTAAAGAGCTTTTTGTGATCCTCAAAAATATTTTACAGTCGCAAGCACTAGTATCTATGTTAAGGGTATTTAAGATTTTATGTGAATTTAAATGGATTATTTTTCTGATAAAAATTTAACATAAACCTTAGTAAGTTTGTATCTGGAAGCAAATTTTTTTTTTTGTAAATTGAGACTGTAAATAGAATATAAAGTTGATGAAAATGTTATATATATATATATATATATATATATATATATTGTTTTTATCATCATTATTGATGTATTATCATTATCACCACAACTATTATCATAATTACAATTATCATTATTGTCCCCCCCTTTTTTTTATAATTTTGTCTCCAGCATTATTGAGGCTAATTTACTGTTAATGAATTAACTATTATTAACATATTAATAATAATTAATATCACAGTTATTATCACTACCAGCATAATCACAATCGTCAACAGCACACAAGCAGTTACCGTTGAAAATACAAACATCATCATCACTATGACCACAAACAGGACCCAGTTTAACCAAAGTGGTGGTGAAAGGGCCAGACCAATAAGAGTGTAAGTGTGCATATACATGTATGTGTGTGTGAAGAAGTGTAAGTTTCTCTGACGGTGCAGGCAGTAGGTCTGAAAAGCATCAAGAACACCCCCTACTCCCTCCTTGTTGAAAGGAACATCGCTTCATATATAAAAGCTGTCTCGACACCGAAATAGAATTACAACTGGTTATGTATGTATGTGCAAATGCATGGATATGTACCTGCACCTAGCCCCAGATTGTTTATATGGATATGTTTGTGTGAACTAAAATGCATACACTGGTATGTATGTGTGTCTATGCGTATGAGAGTGTCACCCCAAACAAACACAGAAGTAGATTCCCCCTCTCACCACAAACATAGTCAAACTAGTATAAATAGATCCAATTTTAAAAAATAAACCAGTTTTTCTGATGATTGCAAAAGCATGAAACCCAGGGTAACAGACTCTTATCGATACAACTTATATACCCTGTTAAGTTGACACTACTTAAATTCTAACTGGCCTGCTCATAAAATTAAAAATTTTTTTTTTTTGTCAATGCACATTCATTCAACCTTCAAGCAGTGACATTTGTCAGGATTGAAAATTTTTTTTTTTTTTTTTTTTTTTAAATCTCAAGATTGAAACTGCTTATATAATTGATATCTCTACTACTATTACAAATTGGGGGAAAAAGACATCATCAATAGTATGCAATTATCAATGACATAAACACAGTTTCATTTTTTTTTTTTTTAAATGGGCATTTATAAGGTACAGATAATGATTTAAGAAAGCAAGTATCGATTTGACTCTGTATTTATATAGGGTCTGCCTCTTTCTAAAAGGATATTTCTGCCTGAATTTCTGAGGCAAGTTGATATTACTATTACATATTGATTATATTGTATCAGTTTCCTTGTTATGACATATAGTTGGAGAAAATTGGTGAGAAAACCTGTCGAAATTGTATAAAATCAACATATTTTTTTTTTTTTATTCTGACAAATTTTGAAGGTAGAAGATGGTCTAATAAATGCCAATCTACCAAAAGTATCTCTCATCCAAAATCGTCCCTATTTTTTTATGAGCAGGCCAGTCATTTTAAGAAAAAAAATTTCTAAATTGCTGGAAACTTCCCTACATTTGAACATTTTGTCTTTAAAAATAAAGTTTGTTGAATTCTAGCCAATTTATAACAATTTGTTTTGTTCTCTTATAATAACAGCCAATGGAAAATCAATGACAGTCATTGTAGGTGCTCTACGACCATATCTCTTTAAAAAATATAAAGAAACTCAAGACTGGAAGTCTGTGATACAGGTATGTTTTTAAAGTTAACTAAATATTATTAATGACTTCCTTTTTGGGAAGAAAATGTTTCACATCAACAATGTATTGAATGATAGCTTTTTCCAAATTATTTTGAAATTGTTTCAATCTTGGTCTTCCATATTGTCATTCATGATGCTGTGTTTGATTGGTAATGTAATCAGTCAATCATGGCACAAATATAATAAAATATTTCATAGCAGTTTTTAATCTTTGTTCAATGATCTTAGTCTAGTGGTAGGATATAGAGGATACATTTCAATTCAAATTGGTTTTGGTTGAGAGAACTTTCTTCATTTAGAACTATGATGAAAAATTAAAAGAAAGAGCTTGAACAAAGATGAAGTTGTCTGTTCCTTAATCATCTGAGCTAAACAAAGCTCTTTTTATTTCCTTTCCTTCATCATTTCCAGTCATTGGTTCTTATCAGGGAGAGATACCTGCATGGCAATGTTTTCGTGGATGTATACTTCTGGCTTTGTATGCATCCCATAGTTAAAGGCACATAATAAATGTCATTGGACTATTTTATATGTATTGATTTCATTCAACCATGTGTCATGAATGCAAAAAGATTCTAAATTATTTGTAAGTGAATGATAATATTGTGGGGTCTGCATTTGTACTCAACTGTAAAAAAAAAGAAAAAAAGTGTGTTATAGCCATAACTATTTAATTATGGTACCTCCTAAAATACAACAGCTTAAAGAATGAAAAAATCTAGTTGATTTGCACCTTATTGATATTGTGGGCCTTGAGGCAAAATAGATGCCCTTCTACAGTAAGATATAGAGAATAACATTGACTGAGCATGTCAGTAATGAGGAAGTTTTAAGGAAAATGAAATTTAACACTCACAGGATATAAAGGCAATAGAGACAGTAAAGCAGCAAATAACTTACCTAACGAGTTTAACTCTTTGGCAGAACAAGGAATAGGTGGGATAGCAAAAAAAATAAACCTAAATAAGAGCTACAAATGATAGGAAATTGGGAAGAGCCATGAGATGTCATACAGAATAGTTTTCGTTCATACTGAACTAAAGAAAAAAAAAAAATTTTTTTCAAGGGAGATAACTTTGTGTTATTTTTCTATTTACAGTTATATTTAACTTATAAGTTCATTCCTGATGTTCATGTAGAAGTTTGTAAAATGAACTATCATTATTTGTAGAAAACAATACATTGAATAGTTATTTTCTGACATAGAACAATTTGTTTATAAAATCTTTGAATTGTTATAAAGAATAATAAGACAAAGAATAACATTTGAAGTTGTTAATTCTTCTAAATAAAATAAAGCATGAAAAAAATCTTGTTCCATCAATTTTTTAATAAGAAAAAGAAATAAAATCCATATACATAAAAAAAAAACATTCTTAAAAACAAAAAACCTACATAAAAATAATAATGTATTAATCAGCTTAAAGAATTCCTTCAGTGATGATGCATTCTTTTCCTCTTGATAGCCATCACTTGTTGTTTTATGAAAGATTTGAATGTGAATTGCTTTTCATGATAAATTTAACTATAACAAGTGCATGCTTTAATTAAATCTGAAACCACTTTTGTCCTTTTACATTTTGTATTTCCACATTCAAAAATTTTAAACTTTTCAATTTTTAAAAAAAATTTTTTAAAGTTTCATTGAATCCTTTTAAACTTAAGCATCAAGTAGGAGCAGTAGTTTCAGGCATTTCATCGTCTCATTGTTCAAATTTTATCATTTCAGTCAATTCTTTATTGGTTATTCCTAAGGCAACTCATTAATATCGTCATTTGAAATTTCAAAATTCATGATGTTGGCAAAGCTTACAATGTCCAAAAATTTTGTAGGTCCTCAGGCCCTGCAATAATTTCAAAAAAGTTGAAGGCAATGTTTGTTTGTTTCTTTTTTTTGTTTTTTTATTATCATCTATTGTTGAAGTTTTTCCAAAATTCTTAATAGCTCATCTAACCCTAAGACAACAGGCTCCTTAACTGACTTTAAAATTTTATTTTAATATAAATCAATTAATTTGTAAAATGAGTTGTACCTCTGTTTACTTGCATATGAATTTAAAAAATCTAGTTGTTAAAAAAAAAAAAAAGTGGTACATAAGTTAGCATAATTTGTGAGGGAACAAATTCAAAATGACAATCTTTTTCTATCATAATTTTCTCTTGAAAGGTGACTCGACATAAAATTGTCTGTTATTACAGTAAGCTTTTTGGAATCTTTTTACTTGTAAAAAAAAAAAAAAAATTGTCACTCTTTGTGCTTCATGACTTCATAAATTACAGGCACTGAGATAATTGACACTCAGTTGAGACAATGATTGCATTTAATGTTTTATTACTTTTTAGGTTCTAAGCTTATCAGCATCTTTGCTAGCTCCTCGACACATGTTGGCAGATGTGGCTGGAGATTGGCTGGCATTAGTTATTCAGAATAAAGAATGGGACATTACTGAAGCTGTGATTGATGAAATGATCGCTCAGGTAAATGATATGTTAAAACAAATCTTGATGTTTTTACAAAAGTAAAGATAATGTAAATTGGTTTCTCTCTTGATAAATTGCAACTAAATCTTAGCAGAACAATTTCTCTGGTATCTATCAAAGTAATTATTTTCTCTTAACATATTATACCTGTTTAAAGTTAAAATTGAAATATTGAATCCTTTTAAGTGCCCAAATGTGCCACTAGTTTCACATGCTTTATGACCTGGTAGAACTTGAATGCACCCACAGTCAGGCCACAGTGTTTTTCAGTATGCAACATTAACGCACATATGATCAACATGAGGTTCCATTTACCAAATGAATGAATGTCATTGGTGCTTTAAAATTTGTTAATTAAGCTCTGCATTTATAGAAAAAAAAATTACTTTATTTCTTCTTTTTGGCACTTGCATCTTGGAATGGTCATGACAAATTTTCTTTGACTTCCACAGTTACCAACATATGACATTAAGTATCAGATTGCTTAACAGTATAGACAGGTCACTATTGAACTGGGAGCAGCACCATCTAGCCCCACCATTTAAACCACTGATGGCTTTCAAGCAGTTTTGTCTACCCAATTTCTCTCAAGGTTTGGGTCAATCTGGCTTTCAGGCACTTCTCAATAGTGATGCATGCTGGGATTGTCTCCTTTTAGATTATCAAGAAGTCATATCTTTGACTAATCAAATACAGGATCTGTACTATATAAAAGGGCCCTAAATTTAAAAAAAAACAAAATACAGATAAATATTAAAGCATAAATTATTTACTAACATTATAAAACAGTAAATATTTAACTTCTATCAATATGATAAACCCATAAAAATATGAGACAAATGATTCTAACAAGATATCTGAGTAGATTCAACAGCCTTGGTATAATGTTACTCAAAATTATGAATAATTAAAAAGGTGTCTCTCCTGACAAGTAAACATTAATCTTGTCAGATTGTACGATGTTGATTTTTAACAGCCTGAAAGTATTTAATGCAGGGCTTTTAAAAATGCTGGGTGTGTAGCATTTTCTATGCGGTTAATCTGGCACTGATAAACCCAACTTTGTAGTTTCTTTTTTTTTTTTTTTTTTGCTAGAAGGTAAAAGTTTTTAAATTAGCATAAATAAAATGTTACTTTTGAATGGATTTAACTTTCTAATTAGTTTTTATTTGAGTATGTGAATTTTGATGTTAGTTTGGTTCCTAGAAACTTTGTCAAGATAACAATTCTGATAGGATTTAACAATGAATTCTTAAGAATTTAATTACGCTTCTTTTTTTTCTTTTTTTCCTATTATTAAATCTCAAATAGAAAATAAATGTGAACAGCCAGTTTTACCAAACTGTGAACAATGTGAAGATACCTGATGCTATTCAGCAGGTAATTTTTTTCTATTTTCTACAAATTTTTATTTTTTTCTCTATATTTTTGTCTTAATTAAAATTGTTGTTTATGAAAGTCTGGCTGAAACCTCTAATTGTTTTGCAGGCAAGCATTAGTAAAATTAGCTCCTTTGTTTTGACCATTTTATTCAACTCACTATGGAATCAACAAAATTAGCTTGTTCAAACAATCACTCCATCCCCCAGCAAAATTAGCTAAATTGGTTTATTTTGATCATTTGTTTATTTCTCCCACCAATTAAAGATTTTCTAAATTTTTCTTCTTTGCTTTCTTTCTCTCTTTTTTTCTTTTTCTTTCTCTCTTTTTTTCTTTTTCTTTCTCTCTTTTTTTCTTTTTCTTTCTCTCTTTTTTTCTTTTTCTTTCTCTCTTTTTTTCTTTTTCTTTCTCTTTTTTCTTTTTCTTTCTCTCTTTTTTCTTTTTCTTTCTCTCTTTTTTCTTTTTTCTTTCTCTTTCTTTTCTCTTCTTTCTTTCTCTTCTCTTCTCTTCTTTCTTTCTCTTCTCTTCTTTCTCTTCTCTTCTCTTCTTTCTCTTCTCTTCTTTCTTTCTCTTCTCTTCTTTCTCTTCTCTTCTCTTCTTTCTCTTCTCTTCTCTTCTTTCTCTTCTCTTCTCTCTTTCTCTTCTCTTTTCTCTTTCTCTTCTCTTTTCTCTTTCTTTCTCTTTTCTCTTTCTTTCTCTTTTCTCTTTCTTTCTCTTTTCTCTTTCTTTCTCTTTTCTCTTTCTTTCTCTTTTCTCTTTCTTTCTCTTTTCTCTTTCTTTCTCTTTTCTCTTCTTTCTTTTCTCTTTCTCTTTCTTTTCTCTTTCTTTTCTCTTTCTCTTTTTCTTTCTCTTTCTTTTCTCTTTCTCTTTTTCTTTCTCTTTCTCTTTTCTCTTTTTTCTTTCTCTTTTTCTTTCTCTTTTCTCTTTCTTTTTCTCTCTCTTTTCTCTTTCTTTTTCTTTCTCTTTTCTCTTTCTTTCTTTCTCTCTCTTTCTCTCTCTTTTTCTTTCTCTCTCTTTCTCTTTCTTTCTCTTTCTTTCTCTTTCTCTTTCTTTTTCTTTTTTTCTTTCTCTTTCTCTTTTCTCTTTCTTTCTCTTTTCTTTCTCTTTCTTTCTTTTCTTTCTTTCTTTTCTCTTTTTCTTTTCTCTTTTTTTTTTTTTTTTTTTTTTTTTTTTTTTAGGAAAAAAATTAAGTTCTTTCATCCATCTCTTTTAGGATTTTTTTTTTGCTTTCCAATACTTATACAGTTTTTACTAAACCAACCAATGTATTTTCAAAGGTATTTTATCTATTTATGTTATTTACACTTGGATTAATGTTCTTGTCTTTGTTATCACATTTCAGCAGTTGTACCCTTTGGACTTCTTCAGGTGCTTCTTGATCCAGGTAACCTTCAGGATATTTTGAACACTTCAACTCTTTATTTAATTTATGGGGAGGGGGAAGATTATTCTCATTCCACTGCTTATGTCTAATGATATCTTGTCTAGTTCTTTTATTTAATACTACTCAACCCATTTCCACTAAGATTAAGTTTGTACTACCCAACACAGGGATTGAACTCAGAATTACTATATCATCAAATTCACAAATCATAGTTTTAATCCACCAGGCCAAGTTAAATAGCCTAATGTATTAAAACATTAGAACAGGGTTTCCCAACATTTTTTTTTTTTTATAAATTCACCCATTTTCACATGGAAAAATTTTCTACCACCCACCTGTATAGTAAATATTCAAAAGTATACAGTGATGGGTAATTTGTTTTGACGGACACATGTCTTGATTAATTCAAGATGGCCAATGTGATAAAAAAAGTAATATCAATTTTATATTAAATTATCCTGAGGTCCCTTCTTAATTTTACTGGCAAAGTTGGTCTTGGTCTTCCCTTATTTGGTTTATATCCAAAAAAAAAAATGTTATTTCATCTTTTTTTCATCTATTTGAATATCAATGATACTTCTCACAACTATAGAAAATACCAAAATATTTCTTGTTTGTGGAGATATATCTTGGAATGTCATCCGGTTATTCCCATTTAGCCTTGAGTTGTTTTTTATACAGATTCTTTGCATATGTGCTTTAAATATTTTTGGTGTGTAGCATATATTGAAATACTTTTTTTAATACCCACAATCCTATATAACCCACCAAAATTAAAAAGAATATGCACTACAAGCAACTAATAAAAATTCAGCGAATATTTTTGTTGTATTTGATTTCCCCTTAAATTATATCCAAAAAGAAAATGTTATTTCGTCTGAAGCACTATTTGAATGTTAATGACCCTTCTCCAAACTATAGAAAATACCAAAATATTCCTTATTTGTGGAGATATTTATATCTTATCTTGGAATGTGATCCAGTTATTCCCATTTAGCCTTCTGTTATTTTTTTTTATGCAGGTTCTTTGCATATCTCCTTTGAATATTTTTTTTTTCAAGTAGCATATGTTGAAATACCTTTTTAAAATATTCAAAATCTTATATCACCCACCATTTTCTGTTGCTTATCACCCACACATCATATGTGAAATTGAAGTTGAAATCGCCCAAGTTGGGAAACCTTGCTTTAGAACAAGATGAAATATCTCTACATATAATAGAACAAGAACAATCTACCAACATAAATTAAATAAAGGGTTCCATTCAAAATTTCCTGAAGGTTACCTGGATCAACAAAGACCTGAAGAAAGCTGAAGAGCACAATTTCCAAAACATAACAACAACAAAAATGAGGACATTAGTCTGAAGGTAAAAATAATAATTCCTTATCCCAGAAATTCTTTATTGAATACAGTTATCTCTTTTGTATTTTAAAATGAGGCTTTCTGATGGATTCTAATATTTCAAAATGAATTTTCTTTCATGCAGAAAATAAATGTGCTCCTCGAAGATTCCAAAGAAATGTCACTGAATAAGGTAAGTTTGTCTGGATTCAAAAGTCTGCAAAATTTTGAGCATAAAGAATTGTGAAGCTTCCTTTTCTATTTTGGCTGTCTTCTACTTCTGTATAAGTTTCCCATTAGGAAGGAAAGCCTCCATCAATATTGGAAAGAGCCATAACAGCTATTGGACTTGAGAAACCTATTTTCCTGAAAAACTTTTAAATATTTTATAAATTTCAACTAAAAGCAGTACTAGCTTCTCTGTCTGTAAATGCTAAATGTTTCCTTATAATGTAAAGGCTAATATTATCATTACCATTAAATGCTATATTTTCTTGTATATAACATTTAACTTTGGTTTGATATTTTTTTTCTAGTTGCTGTACATATTTCTTTTTGTCTTTGATATTTGCTCTTATGAGAAAGCATCAATGAACTGGTTTAGCTGTCTTTTAAATTGTCGTTATATTTTGAAGTACCATTTTTTATATAAAAATACCACATTTTGAAAATAGATTTAATAATAAAAAATAATTAAATAATCAAGATGTTGATGTTCTACAAATAAAAGATTAAGAAGAAAGACCCCCTACCCCGCATCAAAACTGGAAAGAGTGAGAATACTTACTGGACATGAGAAACCTATTTTTCTGAAAAATTTCTTAGAGAGAAAGATTTTATAAATTTCAACCGAAAACAGTACTAGCTATTTGATTAATGAATGCCAAATGTTTTTTTTTTTTTATTTTGTTGTTGTTTTTTACATATGTATAATATTACCATTACCTTCTATTAAATGCTACATTTTATATGACCATTTCTTGCATATATAATAATTTTCTTCAGGAAATAGTTTTTTTTTTTTTTCCTTAAGGCTATATTTTGGAAACATAAAGAGAGTATAAAAATGTTCTTGATTTTGGTTTGATACAGATGACTTTCCAAAATAATTTTATTTTTCTAGTTTTATTTATTTATTTTATTAAAATAACATTTGAAGTAATAGATATTAACAATAATAAACATTGACTTCATTTTGATTGAACCAATTGCTTACAAACATTAATGGAGTATTAATTTTGTCCTTGGAGATTTGCATCTTGATTTGGCCATAATTGGTTCCATTCTGTAGTTTTATTTATGAGATGTTGATGAGATATTCCGTTCCTTATTCCTTAGATTAAAGGTCAGCAACCTCCAGCTTTGTAAGTGATTTTTGTCCAGCCCATGAACTTAACACCTGGACACTAATTATTGAATTAATTTGTGGAGTAAGTGTTAGAAATATATCAGTTGGAGTCAATTGGTTTAAAATGCAAGGAATTTTTTAAATCAAAATTTAATTCCAAATCCACTGTCAACTACAAGAAATAGTCAAGCAGAAAATATAAAAGCCTATTGAATAATGTGAAAATGATGTTATCATTATTTGGAAGTGCATATATTTGTGAACAACTTTCTTTGAAAATATATTAAGTCATTTAAGAACAAGGTTGGGTGATGACCACCTGTATGATGTTTTGCTCCTGTTACCAACAAATATTTCACCTGATGTAGAAAAGTTATTGAACTATAAGCAGAAACAAGTGTCTCATTAAATAATTTGTCATTTCTAACTATATTTCATTTGTAGTAAGGAATTTGCATTTTTTGTTGATTGTGTTAATTGTTATCCTGTTATTACTGCAGTAAAATAAGGAAACTTGTTTAAATAATATGACATTAATGTTGTTTTTTCTTTAAAACTCCAGACCAAGGGTTGATGCTAATAGGTACATGTATAAGTACATAGCTTATTGATAAAATAACATTTATTTTATATTATAAATATTTTTTCAACTCAATTTTCTTCCTTGTTATGAACATCATTCTATAGAATATTTTTTCAGAGATTGAACATGATAATCTGAAAATTTCTAATCAAAATTCAGCTAAGAAGTGTATCTTATTGATGCATTCTTGTCTGTTGCAGCTTCCACTTTCTGAGATGTCAACTGCTGAATTAACAGATTTTGTCCGCACCACAGACAACAAAACAGCTAAAAAATGGCTGCTTGTTCGTCATTGTGCCACTGGGGTAAGTGTTGGTAGTTTCTGATTTTTAAAAAAAATTTTTTTTTTAAATATGTTTATTAATTTATCCCTCTAAGGTAAGAATCCAATTCAAAATGAAGTAAATATTCAGTTTTTTTTATTTGTTTTTGGTTTTTAATGAAAAGCTACCCATGGAAAATATTTGGTTTATTTCTGTAAATTGTCAAGTTCATGACAAAAATTATTCTTCTGATTTGATGAGATTGGGAAAGGTGTAAAAAGAAAATATGAAACAATCAATTTACTCTTTAAAAGACTTTGTATTAAGATAAAAAAAAAAAATTAAAATCTTATTGAAATTTGTATAGTTATTTTGATGCAATTATGGAATTTATTATTTTGAGAATTAAATGAAATTAGAATTTATTGAAAATGTACAGATAAAAATGTCCACCAACCCTTGACTTTTTTCAATTTTTTTTTTTTTTTTTTTAAGACATTTAATCTGAGATTACCAAGTAACATATTTGATAGTATCTAGGGCCAAATTATTTTTTTGTTTTTCTTTTCTGTCTCTCAAGAAAAAAAAAAATGCTAAAAAAAAATACCCTTGTCTTATATACATGAAAATGATGTACATAAGCCAATATTTAGCATTGATTTTTTTTTTAATTTTTGATTTCTGGCATTAAAATATTAATGCCAAATTCAATTCCTTTAGGATGTCAGCAATCCTGGCTCTAGACAGATTGTTTTTTTTGTTTTTTTTCTTATTTTTGATTTACCATAAATTCTTGATGAAAAATATTGTAGTACTTCTTTTCTCTACAGTTTTGTATTGATAGTAGTCCTAGACTGGCTGCCTGCTAAGGCTAGAGCCCAGTTTATTCTGTAATCGTAGCTGATTGGGAGAAGAGATCAATTTGTACCTTTCTCACAGGTATTAGTGTGAAAGTGAACAAAATAGACTAGACAAGAATTTGAACTTGAATAATTCCTGAATATTCTTTTTATCATTTCATCCCAAGCAAAGCAATAAAGCCACTTAGATGCAAAGGGTTACTGAGTGTTAGAGAATATGAGAAAAAAAAACACTATTAAGAAGAGAGAACAATAAAAGAATAGGAATTAAAAAGATTGACACTGCATTTAAATTTTTGAAGATCAAAGTTGACTGGGATGCAAGAAACTGGAGAAGAGTTCCACAATTGCAAGAGAAGAAATTGTTAGCATAGAACTTAAGGTTACATCTAGTCATTTCAACTGTAAAATGATGAGACCGGTCTGCTTATCTAGTAACCTATTCTTCCCTGTTGAAATTGGAAAATAGCTTTCTTTTTTTCTTTTTGTTTATATAAAAATGAATATTATTTTAACTGAAGTAGCAGTCACTCTCTGTCCTCTCACTCTCTGTCCTCTCACTCTCTTTCTCTCTTTTTTTTATGCTGTTCTCTTTTTGCTTAAACTCTTTGCTAAATTTGAATGAAAAATGAAATTCATGTCAAATAGAAATTTCTTTTTGTCTTCTCCTTAAAAAGAGAATGTACACATTCATTTTAAGAAATGTACTTTGCTTAATAACCAACATTTGGTATTTTTGCAGAATATTACAGAAGCTGAAAAACTTAAGGACAGGTTGGATGCAGAGGGCTTTCTTTATCCACCAATTGTTTTGCGTCAATTATTGTTTCTCAATGCAGCACACAAAAAAGATGAGGAAGAAGCCATGAAATATCTCAATTTACTGTAAGTAACCATTGCAGTATATATTTTTAGACATTTTAGATTTTGTTTTATACTAGCAGGCTTCGCAAAGTAAGAATCACTACTTGAAATCTTTGAAAAAAAATTTTAAATGAACATTTATTTCATAAATTGGCTTGTTATAGTTAAGAAAAGTTTTACAAATAGATGCCAACTTGTTGAAGGCCAAGTAAAATGGAAATTTCAAACACTTTTCTACATTATATAAGAATATATTCCTAAACAGAACTATTTTTGATTTGAAAATCAAAACAATCCTCGAGTAAAAGAACAGTAATAAAGGACAGTTAATTAATGAAATAAACTTTTTTAAAATCAGTATGCAAATTAGTTAAACCTGAAGAGTGATATCGCCTAGAAGTAGATAATATATAAATCAGATATTGAGCTTTTAGCATGAAAATTACTATAAAGTAGTTTGTAACACGTTTATTTATCATCTCTCAGTTGCGTCTCTGTCTTTGGGCAGAGTGCACTCAGGGGCAACTCTGTCAAAGGACAATGCACCGAAGCCAGCACAACCAACGGTTGCGGGGGCTCGGGCAATTTTTGTTCCTAGCCTGGGTGTATATACTCAGGCTTCCCACATTAAACCAATCTTGTGTCACAACCTGACCTTGTGGAGGGTTGAGTAAATACAAATTACTATAAAGTAGTTTGCAGCACATTTATTTATCATATCTCAATTGCGTCTCTGTCTTTGTGCAGAGTGTGCCCAGGGGAGGCTCTGTCAAAGGACAGAGTTGCGACTGAAGAAAATTATACTAAGAGGTGCCGAGCCCTGGGGAACAAATACTTGAGGCTGTGCCCTGTCATTGCACCAGAGAGGGGGATTGGTGCTCACGCAGGGACTTGGTCAATTTTTGTTTTTAGCCCAGGTGTATGCGCTAGGGCTCCCCCCACAAAAAAACACTTCATGGATGGGTTGGGGGTGGGGTTTGAGTAAATACCAAATTAATATAAAGTAGAGTTTGTGGGAGAATTGAGCATTTATTCATATAGATTCCATAATACAGATTTTACTTAGTGATTATGTTTCTCTAACTTCAAATATAGAATGTATAACTATTTTCCCCATCTTTACACTATATTAATTTTATCTTATAAATTATCCCCTGTTTTGTCACCCATGAAATAAAAATAATTGTATGGAAAATAAGAATCTACATACATCAAATTGTCTTTAAATTAAGTGGCAGCAGAAGAATTTTCATTGAACTTTTAAAAGGTAAACATTAATTCAATACTTAAATGTGGGGATCAATTTTGAGTTCTTCTGTAGTAAATTGATGCCTATCACATCTATTCCTCCCTAGCTATTGTGATGATGGCCAAACCAACTGTCCTCTACAGGAGCTCTCTTAAAATTTTAAGCTAGCCGTTATTTCAGATACAAAATGAGTTACTCCCCTTGAAACAGTAAAGCAATGATAATGGCTAGTATAATATATAAATATATATTTTTAACCTTGCATAATCTGGCAACCCTGAATTTGAGCTCAATGAAAATTGTTCCCTGCACCTAACTTTTCTAGGGCTTTTGAATGAGCTATGAATCATTGAAATTGGACCAGTGGGAACAAAGGAGTTGCTTGGACACACACATACACTGTATTTTATATATATATATATATATATATATATATATATATATATGAATAGAATAATCATTTCAAGATTTGAAAATTATCACATGATTAACACATTGGTTTGAATTTAATACAGTAAGTAACCTAGAAAATTGATTAAAAAAAAATTACCAAAATTTTCTTTTAAATAATCATATGTGCTGGTGTCTGGGCTGTTGGTACCTAGGAGCTGAGCTACATGACCCTTATACGTTGAATACGATGGGAGTTCACCACACACACACACACACACACACACATATATATATATAGGAAATATTTATCAATCTAACATGTTTCCCTTATATTAAAGCTTCATCAGAGAATGAGATATAGAGAAAAAGAAGAAATTCTGGTATTTTTTACTCTTGTGTTGTTTGATTTTCATTTGTTAATCATGTTTCATGTCCATTCAACTTGTTAAACAAACATTAGTATACTTTGTGGCATTCTGAATTCCAGGAGAGACAACATGTCCATTTGAAGTTTGAAGAAATTAATGGATTCAAAGTCTAACTGAAAAATGCATAAATATTGCTTTATGTATGTAAGTGTATAATAATTCTAGTTTGTCTATGTCAGATTCAGATGATAATGTAGATTTGTGTGTGTGTGTGTGTGTGTTTAGTAGATATTATGTTTGGTTTTTCACATGTTGATTTGGGAACATTTTTATGCACTTACTGTTTTAGATAAACATACATGAGATTCTTTAAGAATGGATTCAATAAAGGCTGATAATGTTTTTGACATGCGTTTATACTTGGTAATATTCTCCATAGTAGTCCTCAAAGTACTTTCTACAAAGAATCATGTTCTTTTTTTTTTTTTAATTAGGGTAGCTTTTGTAAATTGAATTCAGATTGCCACAAATTATACTAATGTTTGTTTAACAAGTTGAATGCACATGAAACATAATAAACAATGAAAATCAAATAAGACAAAAGTAAAAATACCAGAATTTCTTTTTTTCTTTTTCTCCATATTTCATTCTCTGAGGGAGCTTGAATAAAGCTAAAGAATGTTAAACTGATAAATGTTTCCTATTTGTTCTTTATCTTATCATTCTGTTGGATTCTAGTCTATATTTGATCCCAACTCTCTCTCTCTCTCTCTCTCTCTATATATATATATATATATATATATATATATATATAGTGGACTCCCCGTCATATTCAATGTTGAGGGTCAGGCACCTCAGTTCCTAGAAACCAACAGCCCAGACACCAGCATATATGATTAGAGTGGTGAAGGCTTTGTGCAGAACCAACCACACTTTTTGAAGGGCCGAATACAGAGACCTGATGCACTAGGTGCCACAAGGTCCCTAAATGACCTTCCACAGGTTTTGAATTCAGAGTTGTCTTTCTCCTAGACTAGTTACTATCCAAGGCTATAGAACCCAGTCTGTCCTGCTATTTACCCATAGCTGGAAGGAGAAGAGGATTAATACCTTTCCCAAAGGTATTGGCATTTAAGTGAATGTAATGGATTCAACTGGGTCTCCAATTCCTCAATCCAAGCCACTATCCACTACTCCACCATGCCTCCTATATATATATATATATATATATATATATATATATATATACTAGCAGTAGAGCCCGTTGCCGGGGATATAACAATAAGAGATAGATCAAGTATCCACCATCATAAAGACTGAAAAATAAAATTGACAAAGATTATTGTTTAAGGTTGACGGACACGCATGTCTGAATTAGTTGTTCTTCACTTTTTTTTTTTTTGGCTGGTAGTGTTTCTTATTGTCTTGCACACTTTTTTCTTTATTTTTACATTCAGAATGCTTTAAAAATTCCATTTACAAGACAATTGTTTATAATAAAATTCTATTCAATCGGTAGACTCATAACGATTGAAAACAATGTTTTTGTTTAAGTTTGGGTTTGACCAATTCATAAAAAAAAAAAAAAAACTAATTAAGACATGCATGTCCGTCAACCTTAAACAATAATCTTTGTCAATTTTATTTTTCAGTCTTTATGATGGTCAATACTTGATCAATCTCTTACTGTTACATCCCCAACGCCAGGCTCTACTGCTAGTATATTATAATGGCCAATCATAACAAATAAGGTCTCCATTTGTTAGTTAAAATGTTTGCACAAATAGTTGAAAAAAAAATATGTTTGCACTAATAGTTTTAACAACAAAAATACAAAATGTTTTAAAAAATATCCAAGTACTAATTATCATTAATATCTATCATAGTTCCTTTGAGAAATTATCTGCATTCAGTTATTTATATTCTTTTTTTTTTTTTTTTTTACAATATATTTTTCTTCAGATAATTGTTTTGAAGAAAAAATGACCCCATTTTTTGCCAAATATTAGTTACATTTTCAATTAAACAGCAATGCATCATTGGAGTGATGTCCTTGTTTACTTTGTATCAACAAACAACAAATTCCTTTTTTCTATTTCATAACTGTTATAGGCTGGTTGTGTGCAATATAGTGTTTTTCATGGGGGTGGGTTGTTTACTGTGTCCGTTCAGATTTACATGCTTCAGAGATGCATCTAGCAGCATCTCGCTGTTTGTGTCTGTATATGTGTGATATATATGCCGGGTGTAACAGCAAAATTGTCCAAATCGTTAGATTAAGCTTTGAACCGTTGTATCTTAGAAATGATTAAAGATATCTTACTGGAATTCTCTAAGGTTTTTATAACAATATTAGACTCTACTTTGAGCAATAAAAATGTATAATTACTCTTCAAGCTCAAGCTTCAAGCGTATTGTGATGAAATCAATCATAAACAAAAATGACATGTTGTTCATTAATTAATCATAGGTAAGGATCAGAAGCTCATGAAGTATTGAAATAAAGTTCAAATATATATATATATATATATATATATATATATATTCGGGATCATTTTCCAATTTGTTCAAGATGATCTTTGCCCTCTCTTTGTCCTGGAGTAACAAGTTGCCTCACAGGTTTCACGTACATTTTCAAGTTTTTTTTTTTCACTGCTCTTTGGACTGTCATAGCTGAAACTCCGGTCTTATATGCCAAACGTCTTATGGATTAATTTGGATCTTTTTTAATTGATCTCTTTAGTTCTAAGTTAAAATGATTATCCCTCTTCCTGTTGTGACCTCCTGATCCAGTTTTCCTATCTACTGTTTCCTCTTTTTTAAAGTTATTCACCATTCTATTGATGGTTCTTGAATGGACTTTGAAGATGAAAGTCAGAGCATGAATGTTGGTACCATTACTGAAGGCCTGAATGATCTTTTTCCTCTCACCATTGCTCAGTTGGAAAGACAGTGGGTCTGACACAAAACAATTCTAACCTGTTCTCTTTTGCTGAATATCTCAAAGGGTTTTTCAGTGATTCTTATGAAAAATGGTGTCAAGATGGCTAAACATCTGAAAACCTGTTAAAAAGAAACTCAATTAGTTGTTTTTTTAGATATTAAACATTTTATGGGATGGATAATTATGCTGAACATGATTTGAACAATTTTTGTGCTGTGTGTATGTATTTTATATATATATATATATATATATATATATATATATATATATATATATATATATATATAAATTCAGGGATTTTATCATTCTTTTTAAATTTGATTCTTTGACTGTCAAGCTCATGTTTTATTTTGTAAATAATTAAAGTATTGATACAAAAAAAAAAAAAAAAATCCTCCATGCATTTGCAAATAATTTCTGGGAAAGTTTTGTGCTATTTTTTTTTTAGAGGTGTTCACAAAATCAAAGACTAAAACTTTTGGACAGCCCAACTTTTCAAATATTTCTAAAATATTTCTAGTTAGATCCAAGTTGTCCTTAGAGAAATGTCCATGTCAATGTCTCATTCTTTCTTAGTAACATATTCATTTTCTCTCACTTTAATTTTCTTTCCTTCTGTAATTTTTATCAAAAACATTTTTTTCTTTTGTCTTAAAATCTAATTAGTCAAGCTCCAAATCAAGCATGAAATTAGAAATAATTCTTTAGTAAATTTCTTTGGATTAAAAGTGAAAAAAACCTTTTTTATTGCACAAATTTATTTTTTTTTTTTTTTAATTGTATTTTGTGAAAATAACTTTTCTTTCTTCCTGTAGCACTTATCCACTTCTTGACTCTCAACTTTTATTCTTATTTTCTCTTTTAGTCAAAGTCAGTATCCTGAATATAGTGATTGTTCCCGAGCAATATTAAATATGGCTGCTTTATTAACAGAAAATGGAAAAGTAACTGGTAAGCAGTTTTCTCCCTTTTCAAACACACTCAAATTAAAATTTGTAAATGCCATAAATAATTTTGGAAATTAAAAAAAATCATAAAATGTCAATCAATTTTATAAAAATGCAAGATTAAGTGACAGAAAAGTTTTGTTGCTTTTTAATTGTTAATTGTCACTAATATTGTAATAATAGTAATAATATTGTAATAATAGTGTTTGGGTGTCAATCACTAATATTGACTTCTACATAAATTCCTTTTGTTCTTTATTACTGTGTGATGTTCATCACCCAAATAAAAATTTTTGATACATCAAAACTTTTTTGAAACTCCCTCAGAAAAAATAAATATAAATAATATATATATATATATATATATATATATATATATATATATATATATATATATGCATGCATGCATACACAGGTAGTAGTCTGTTGGTATAATCCAAGCAAGTCCCATTAACACAATATAGAATTTGAAATATTAAATGTTAAAACTGACTCACAAAGAGTGCTCGATGTTTATTTTCATTAAACAGAGCAAAATTTTTTTACAATTGGAATTAAAATACCATTAGTTAATGACCATTTTCACCTACAAATTTTAAAATTTAAAATTAGCATGACTTGTCAAACTGTTTATGGTGTCAGTTTGTCATGGTTCATGTGATAAATATAATATATTTTTCTTCAGATAATTGTTTTGAAGAAAAAAATGACCCCCGTTTTTTGCCAAATTTATTGGCAATGCAAAAATAAAAATCATATTTCTATTGAGAATTCACATTGAGGTTTCCATTCACAAAAAAGAAATATATAAACACACAAAAAATAAACATAAATAACAAATATCATATCTTATTACAGTAGCCAAAGATTATCCAACAATATAACATTTGTTTATAGTAAAACTACAAATATAAAATTAAACAGAAATTACTCAAGAATGCATTAGCTTATTTATTACTACTTCTTGCAGAACCCCTAGCAACTTCTTGTGGAACTGTAGGGAAGTTTGGGAAGGGAAAACTGGATCTTCCCAGTTTATTTTAATTATGCCTAATTCTGTGGGATATTTACAGCCATGATCACCATATTATTTATTTATGCCACTTGAGTAGTTGGAGGAAGAAGTGTGTATGTACATAGGTTTGGTTTATCTAGGGTCATGAAACCTCTACATTAGTTTTTTTTATACTCACACACACACATTATTTAAATTATATATATATATATATATATATATATATATATATATATATATATATGAGAAAAACCATATATAGATAGATAAGAAAAACCACATATAGATGGATAGATAGGCAAAAGCCATATATGGAAAAGGATAGATAGGCAAAAGCCATATATGGAAAAGGATAGATAGGCAAAAGCCATATATGGAAAAGGATAGATAGGCAAAAGCCATATATGGAAAAGGATAGATAGGCAAAAGCCATATATGGAAAAGGATAGATAGGCAAAAGCCATATATGGAAAAGGATAGATAGGCAAAAGCCATATATGGAAAAGGATAGATAGGCAAAAGCCATATATGGATAAGAAAAACCATAGATAGACAGAAAGAGAATTAGATAGATGTATATTTGGACAGCAAAACCTCTTTCATATGTGTTTCATTAACAATGAATTTTTGTTTAGATTTTTGTTTTTTTTTCTTGTATGCATAAAAGCATTTTCTTTACTGCTCTATGCTAATAAGCAAATATTACTTCTTAACTGTTTTATCATCAACCAACAGAGAAAATTCTTCTACCTGCTTTTGATTTCCTCTTATTTTTTTTTCATATATTGTTGACAGAACTCTGTGTCAATGTTATAGGAATCTCAGTTATCCAGGTTTTTTTATATTAAATATCCAAATTCCAAACAATAATGAAATATTAATAAAGAAAACCTGAGTATGCCCATTAAATAATTTGTATTTACAAACATATGTATAGGGTACGATGGGTAAATTGTTACTATTTTATATTTTTAATTTTGCACATACGTGTTGTTTGTTTTTGATTTTGTCAACTGTATAGTATAGTAGGGTAAGTTGAGCACTGCCTGTAAGAAAAAGAGCACCATGATGCAATTCACTCTGCCAGAAATTTGGAAAGGGCATGTTGTACTTCTTGACATTCACACTGAAAACTCCAATACAAACTTTTCTGAATGTTTGGGTGTCAATCTGTGGACAGTGCAAAGAATTTGGAAAGATGATATATCCAGTCAACATCATGGTGTTTTCAGTGATCACTAGTGATGGTGACATTATGCCTCCATTCATCTTCCCACAGGTCCTCAGACTCAACATAGAGGCCTATATCTAGTGCATTAAGGAGAGAGTGGTGCCTTGGGTTAAGAGGGTGGCTGCTGCAAGCAGTAGAATGGGTCATAGCTGTCAGACAATTTCTATGACCACATTACCCCTTACATCTGGCTACCTAACTGCCCAGACTGCAACCCTCTTGATTATTATGTGTGGGGTGCAGTTGAACGAAAGACCAACAAAACTCCTTGTAACACAAAAGATGACCTGAAGGCAAGGATCATGGGTGCATCCACCAACTTAAATAAGGAGACTGTCCAGAAGAGCTGCAGGTGATTCCAAAGTTGTCTACAGGCTGTGGGGGAAGCCAATGGTGATTTTATTGAATAAATCTACTCTTTAGTATTTCAAGGTATTTTTGTGTAAGTTTGGTAAATATATGTTAAAATGAGAAGTCAGTGTTATTTTCATTTTTGCATAATTTAGACGACAATTTATCCATCGCACCGTGTACATGAAATCAAAAGGAGTAAAAATAGTCTTTGGTTGAGTAAAAGAAGTGTTTTGATTGAGTAAAAATAGTCTTTGGTTGAGTTAAAGTTTTTTGGATAGTTGTTTCACAGAAAAATCTGGTTCAGAAAAGACTTAATAGTTGGTGCAGTATAAAAAGTTGTTTAAGAAAAGGTTTTTATCATTAGCAAAAATTCAATGACAAACTTTGTTGTTGTAACTGATTCATTTAACATTGCCAATACACGTTTCTTTCAGCACTTATGAAGGGAGGAGACAGTTGCATCTCTGTTCTTTGAAAGTTGAAATCTGTGGGTTTTTATATGAAATCTTTCTCAAAAGTAGGTTCAAGAAAAATAGTTTTAGTTTTCTCTGTTTGGTTCAATATTTCATATGTTGATATTAAATTCTAACTAATAGACACTTTGATTTAAACAGTATGTGTTGTGGAATTTTTTTGGCATGTTTGTAATATTGTCTGTTACTGGATAGAAAATAAAGTTTGGGCATGTTTTAATATGGTATGCGGAGATGTAATTGTGTTGGAAATAGGGTTTATTTCTTATGATGCCTCTTTCTCTCTGTCTTTCAGATGCAGTTAAGATATTAGAAAATTATGCTGAAACTCATGGTGATTACATAGAAAAACAAAAATATAATACTACTTATATTTTGGAAAATGACTGTTTGACATTGATTAAAACTGTTGTAAAGAAAGAAGAACCAACCATTACCAAACAAGTTCTGCAGTTGATATTTAATCTGGGTTACATAAAACCAGCAACTTTTGAGTTGATAGAAGCAGTAATGGAAGGATACCTTGACCGGTCAGTTATCAACACTTTTCTATAAACTTTGAATTGGATTTTAGAAAAATATGAAATGTTCCTGTGAGAAATAAAAAGGACCAATATTTGTAAGGTTTCTAAAAATGTTACACATTAAATATTGAAATACTATTTTTGTCTCATTATAAACATTACATTTACTGTATGAAATATATACGTGAATGTACCAATAATTACAGGATAGGTAGGAAAAATCATGATTCCTGTTCCAAAATATTTGTTACATTTAGTGTATGAAATATGTGTTGTGGAGTAAATAAGACATCCCCAGTAACACAAATGATCTAGGCAAGACACCTTAAATAAAGAACTGAAAGTGAGTCAGGAGAAGTATGTTGGAGTCAGTCAGGAAGAATGCTAGTATTGTCACAGCAAGTAGCCTAAGCAAAATATATTATAACCCCGAGGAGTGAGCTAGAACAATGGTAAGAGCAAATGAAACTCATATGAAAAAAGCAAAAGTACTTTTTGCTTCAGCAAATATGATAAGTGACAATGACAAATTAGAACCACCTTGTTTTAAATTTTTTGGGTGTGTAAAAAAAAGAGAAAAAAAAAAAAAAACAGATTCTTCAAATATGGAAGAATTGTTAGCCTAAGTGGTGAAAATACAACAGCAGATTTGGAACTCCAGAAACAACAAAAAAATTTAATTGAAATAATACAGAAGAAAATCGAAAATTCCCTTCACTCCTGAGATGGTGGCAAATGCCATAACTGAATTCACATACAATTCAGTTGATGGAATAAGATTTTCTGCTTATTTTAGAAAATATGAGTAAATTTTCAATGCAGTGACTGGGAAGACAAGAAAGAAACACAAATTTTGTTGAGAAAGTTTGCACCAGTAGAACATGAAAAATACTGTAATTTTGTACTAATGCCTCTTCCAGATATCAGTTATCTCCATTTTAACTCCACTCTCCATGTTTTTTGTTCACCTGTGCTGTAGCCAGGTATTGAACTCACAACTCTTTGGGTCAAGTCACTGGATTCAACAAAATTTTATCCATTGGACCATGTGTCCTTGAGACATCTGGAAGAGGTGTGGCACATTGAAGTGGAACATTCTCTTTACCCCAGTGAAGGGAGTAAAGGCTTCAGTTTGAAATTCCAATCACCTGAAGAAGACTGGAGCGTACATTGGCTGAAACATTGTGAATATGACAACGAAGATGAGGACAACAATGTAAATAGTGTAAATAATAAGAGTAGAGATTTATCCCTTGTTTCCTGTTTAGAATTGAGTTTCCGGTTCCTTCCAAAGTCTTCTCATTCTCTTTCACTCCTAGTAGCCCCTTGTGTCTTAGTGGCATTATCATCTTGCTTGGGGGTTTATTTGATTGAAAAACAAAAAATTTTCACATATCAAAAATATTTTCTTTTTAATCAAGAAAATGATACTTACTGAGCTTTTAGTTTGGCACAAGACCACAATAGCGAAGTGTTAAGTGAGAACAAAATCCATGATAAAATCTCCCTTCATCATTCTATAGCAAGAGATGTAATTAATTCCTTTATCCAAAGATTATGGTCATTTTTTTATCATCGTAGTTCTATGGTTCAATTGCAAATGAAATATATTACTGCTGCAGTTAAAGAGTTAACAAATTCTGCTGCCACTGCTTTTATTTGTTTATAATCTAAAATTAAATTTTCATTCCCCACCACTCAAACTTAATTTTCCAAAAAATAATTTTTTGGGTAAAGTAGACATTTGCCTAAATGTTTATATGTAGCAAAACATTTTCACAAAAAAAAAAATGTTTAAGGTGTCCATCTCTTAAAATGCCACATTTTTATCAAGCTTATGAAAAGCGTCCATCTCTTAAATGAAACATTAGCATTTTCATGCAAAGCTGACAATTGTTGATCTTAGGAATTACTAATAATTTTGGACACCTTATTCAAAAAAAGAGGGCAACTATCTGTATTTCTGCATTTACAAATGGCAATTGAATTTGTGTCAAGTGTATTAAATTCCCACAGTCCTTTTTACTCAAGTGTCCTAAAAATTTCAATTCTTTCTGATTTGTCAATATCAGATTCCTTGTCGTCTCTATTTTTATTAAGAGTCCCTCATTGATCAAAAATTGTGTACATGATATTCTTAGCAATCTTTGATAGAACCACATCTGTCACTTTATTCTTATCATCCAGTGAAGCACCCTCCTATAATCCAAAATATGTTTTAGTTTTAAATAACCTACAAATAGTTGATAAGCGTTAAAAAACAAATTAATCAACAATCTTCAATGAGGAAATTGTCTGGCATTCATTGCCATATAGAAGATTAGATGTTAAACTGCATATCAGAATTTTTTTTCTTTGTTTCTAATGATATTTTCCTATTTATAATGTGCTTAGTTTCTGAAAGACATCTTTTTCTCGGGCAAAAAATCACTTTCATAGACATTTGTAAAGCTTTTTAACAATAAGAAACTATTTTGCCATTTTGAGAGAGGAAAACAAATTTTAAATAACCTAAATAGCTTCTGGGCACTGATTGGTTGGAGGATGGTGAGCCCATTTGATATCAATACTCACAGATGGAATAGAATTTCCATGAATCATGATAAAACGGGAGCTTTTGTTATTCACATTAGGTTATAGTTTATATTTCCATGATTCTTTTTTTTTTTCATCATAGAGCTGTAATGACTGAAATTTCTGTCATCTGCACTTAATGAGTTAAGACATCAAACTAAAACAGAAATGTTTGCAAAAGAATCTGCTTTAAAAATGTTTTCCAGAATTAAAAAGATCACATAAACGGTTTTCTCTTGAGAGGATCCTTTTGAGGGTAGGATTTTGGTTTTTTTTCCGAGAGATATGGGATGATCCAAAAATGTTTTCTTTTTGAGAGAGAGATAGGGATGATCCGAAAAATGTTTTCTTTTTGAGAGAGAGATAGGGATGATCCGAAAAATGTTTTCTTTTTGAGAGAGAGATAGGGATGATCCAAAAATGTTTTCTTTTTGAGAGAGAGATAGGGATGATCCGAAGGATGTTTTCTTTTCGAGAGAGATAGGGATGATCCGAAGGATGTTTTCTTTTCGAGAGAGATAGGGATGATCCGAAGGATGTTTTCTTTTCGAGAGAGATAGGGATGATGCGAAGGATGTTTTTTTTGATCCGAAGGATGTTTTCTTTCTGAGAGAGAGATAGGGATGATCCGAAGGATGTTTTCTTTTTGAGAGAGATAGGGATGATGCGAAGGATTTTTTTTTTCTCCGAGAGAGTGGGATGATCCAAAGGAGTTTTTTTTTTTTTTTCAATAGAGAGTGGGATGATCCAAAGGAGACTTTCTTTTCAAGATAGGGAGAAAATCTCAAAGAATTGATGCTATTAAGCATCTAAAAAATTGCTGAATATTTTTGTGGCGTGTAGTTTTTTGGTGGCTTGGAATTCATAATGTGTTGCCACTTAGTGTAACTTCATTGTATTGAGTAGAAACCCCATCAATTACTCTGTTGTTATCAGTGTTTTCATTAGTGATTTGCATACTCAATGAATTAACACATGCAAATCAACTATGCCCAAATTCTCACTTCTGTTAATATAGTACCTGGCAAGAAGATACAAGCAACATGGGACTACTTCCTTTTATGATGACAAGATTGGTTACTACTTGATTCTTCACCACAATTTTGCACTAACGAAACTCAAGATTCTTGACTTTAAAAACTTTCTAATTCAATCACATTTACAATTTTATCTTTTTTGTTGTCAGCAATTTGCACAGTTGTGAAAATATTTAGAAGGAACTGAAGCTGATATTTTTCTAATTGGACATTTTCTTTTCATTTGCAATTTTCTTTTGTATCTTTCTAGGAATGAACAGGAATATTGCATGGACATATTAGAGTGGATTATCACTGAATATAAACGCGCTCCTTGCATTGATAGATTACTACAGATGTTCATTAAAGCTGAAGATCCAGAGAAATTACAGAAACGTATGCAAAACTGTCATATTATTTGTTTTTGATCATTGAAATGTTGATCTAAATTAGTCATACTTGGAGCTCTAACTCATTGTAACAATGAGTCACCATTTTGAGCATTTGTTATTCTTTGAATATATGCTCTTTAGTACTAGAGAGCTTCGTCAGTGATGTTCTGAATTGGGTCATTGGGCAGTTTCGGGTCTTTCAATCATCATACTCCTCCTCACCAAGTCGAACCCATCAGAGCTGATGAGTCTCTGATGCGCCCCCATGCTAAATTAACAGCCTGCAGGCACTGGCTTATATTAGGCAAACCATACCCCTCTATCACACATTTGATTGGAAGTTGACCAACAGCCAATCGCAATGGTGTGAGCTCTATTTAAGTTGTTTACGAGGAAATTTTACTTTTTCTTTTTTTTTTTTTTTTTTTTTTATACGGATACTCAGAAGGTAATTGTGTTTTCCGTTTTTTTTATTTGGTTTTTTTTTTTTCATCCTCCCTCAAGTTTCATCTCCCCAGCTGATAATTACTGTTAGTAAAAAAAAAATAAAAAAAATGCAACCATAAAATAATTAGAAATTTACATTGTTTTTACGATTAAAATAAATAAATTAGGACTTATGCAGCATGTTAAAACAAAAATAAATATATAAATAAACTAGCGCTGCTCTCAATTTATGCTATACTTGTCAATGAATTGCATATTATTCCTACAAAAACACAAGCGATGAGTGATTCTTCATAATTGTTTTGCTCTTTTTTGAAACCTTTTAGTTTTCTATTTATTTGTCCGCTTTTTCACTAGATAACAACTGTAACCTAGACAACCGCCAACAGTTGTGTAAATTATGCAAATGTAGAAGTAACAGAGCAGTGGCCCTGATTGACACATATCAGTGCATGAAATATTGTTTAATGATTTAAGTATTGAGAGACTTGGTAATGACAAGCAAAATTTGTTTAAAAATATTAATTTGAACTTATAAAATACTTAGGAAGGCAATGAGAGAATTGAACCTAAAATAAACCAAATAAGATTCGGTAAAATCAAGTATAACAGATACCCAGCTTAGATGTACAAACTGAAGGAAATCCTGACATGATTAATGTTTTGCCCAAATTCTGTAAAACCTAGATGGAATTGAGGAATGTTTCACAACCTTATATGACAAATTGTACACAAAGCTTACTAAAATTTCTGATCTTGGGTATTTTAGAAGCATAAGTCACAGGCAGTGCTAATGAGAAATAATTTAACAAAGAGGGTTTTTTTTTGTACAAATGCCTAATTAATCAGTCTCCTCAGGACTGTTACTCATATAAGTGCATACACGCACCATTTTTAGTTGGAGATATAGAAGAAAGCCAGAGAGACATGGGGAGTCGTACTTGACCACTTGAGAAATGTCACTGTCTATTTTTGTCAAATTTTCTAGCAACGGCAAAGTTGGTAACACGCCCCCATTTCTCCCATTAGTTATCTCTCAGTGCCTTAAGGAAAGAATAGAACATCCTGAAGTTGACTGAATGAGTATGATGTTTGCAGCTTTTATATTTTCTTATTATTAATAAATTTTTGATGGCTTTATCAACAGAGTTTGTCCTTTCTGCTAGAAAATTCTCACCTTTCAGGAAAGTTTCCTGAATTAAGGAAGTTATGAGGATCAAAACATTGCTGGATCTGTCATCACAAAACCAAGTCATGGGTGAATATTTCATTGCAGCAGGTACACAACAAAAAAGATTTCAACTAGACAATATAGTGGCGGAACAAATGAATGATGAGATGAGCCAAACCCAATTCACACAACCTTCACTGAACTATGATACTGAGGATTGTGATTACTGGTTAAAATTTACATTGGACATAGAGTAGCTGGGGCACAGATACTCTTGTGTCATGATTGATGACCTCAGCACAATAATACAATCTCCCAAGTATCAAATGAAACAATAATTATCAGTGTGTATTTATCTGTCTCATCTGTAGTGGGAAGGTAAATCAACTTAAGTTAATAAATTTAAAAGTGTTTATTTTCCTTAGCCATTTTAATAATCTATACAAATAAAATATTTATCTGTATTTAGACAAAATTAGTTCCCAAGCAAAATGAACTATTTAAATAATCAGTTCCTATACTACATTTCTTAGATTGCAGTCTTATTTGTTCAAGCCTTTCATGTGAGGCACTCCGATACCTTTGTCTATTAAGTGATCATTTTGCTTCAAATTGGTCTTGAAATAGGCTTTGTTGTTGCCATCTTTGTTCTGTTAATCTTTTTCTTTGGACAAATATTTCCATTTCAATGTTATATTAAACACATAAAATTTTTAACATGAAAATATATTGAGCAAAAAGTGATTTATATAATAACAGGAGTAATCAGTGAATCATAGATACCAGTGAATGTTTCAAAAATGTAAAGGGAACAGATTAATTAAATGATTCATTGGCTTCTATTTTAGTTGTGAATTCTTTCTCTTCTTTATTGAATCTCAATACATTGTTTCAAGACTTGTTTCATTGCATCTCACTATTAAAACTTTCTCACAATTGCTGTCATTTTTGATGGCATTGGTACACTAGTTATATAATAAAAAAAATTATGAAAGAAAGATATGATTTTATCTGATTTGTTAAAGATATGAAAATTTATTAGTCAATGGCTAGTGGTGGTGATTCAAGCTTGTGTTGAACATGTGATTGCAAAATTTATGTGATTTATGTTTAAGTCATTTAATATGTAATTTATATACACAATAATAATTTATGTAATTTATGTTTACGTAATAATATTAATTAATTTATGTATAAGTCATTGTTGATCTCTTAAGGATATTCTTGCATAATTTTTTTATTTTTTACATGGAATTTTTCAGTAATGGACCTTGTCATTCCTATTCATGGTGAGATGAACTTACTTCATCAATTGATGGTCAATTTAGTAGACTGTGGACATTTGAAGAAAGCCAGGAAAGTTTTAGAGGTAAGCCCCCACACACACACACACAGCAATAGAATCTTTGAATGATACTATAAGAGCATTCAATAATGTCTTATTTAAATCTTTCTTTTTGTTTGACCTTTTTAAAATCTGTATTTATTCTTGCCTAATTTTGCCTACTTCTTAATGATGATGATTTCACATTTTTTCAAAGTAAATAATGAAGTTACCAGGTACATTATTTATATGTAGACTATTATCCTAATATATGGTGTTGTTATCAAAACCTTTGATGGTGAATGTCAATCCAGGTAACCTACATGGAATTCAGAACTGAACCCTTTGTTTAATTTATTAGGAGTAGACTGTTCTCATTCCACCACCCATGTTTATGGATATCTTAGTCTAGATTGGAGAGTTGAGTTCCAATTCCAGTTGGGTTCATTATATTCACTTATGTGTAAATACCCTTGGGAAAGATATGAATTCACCCAGCTATAGGTTAATTAATAGAATTTGTATTAGTAAAAATCATTATTATCTTTAAAAAGTTCTTACAATCTAAAAATATCATCTGGCTTTAAATAACCTGCAAAAGGTTGATAAGTAAAAAAAAAAAAAAATCAATCTAGTTATTAGTGCTGCTCAGTTATTGCTCACCCTGTTTCCATTGAGTTCAAGTACATGCTGCTCAGCCTAGGGATTGAACTTACAAATTCACAAACCAACATTTGAGTTTAATCCTTGGGCCAGGCAGTGTGTACTTGAAAACAATATGAGCAATAACAGAGCAGTACTAAAAATAAGAACTAGACGAGATATTCCTAGACATAGGCAATGGAATGGGAACAGTTACCCTCGTAGATTAAATAAAGTGTTCAGTTTGAAATTCCCTGTAGGTTACCCTGATGAAGCCTGGAGGGTACAATGGCCAAAATGTAATGGGAACAAAGATGAGGATAATAGGCTGCATGTAAATAGGGTAAATATTTATCATTCTTTATCCCAGAAATTCAGACAGAAATTACCTGACACAAAAAAAAAAAAATTGATACTAATTGTTAGAATGCTAAATGATAAAATTAAAACTGATGCTGTTTTAACAATGGAATTTTATATTTTCAAATGCAGGTGAAATCGATTTAAAGAAAAGTTTACTCAGTTCAACTGCAATATCTTCAAGCTGATATAGTGTTTAATTAATGTATTAATTAATGTATTAATTTTGTTTCATTAGGTGTTTGAAAAATAAGAGCTGCATTTAAAAGGAAACAAAAATAAATTTTTAGCCATTTTTGTTTTGCATCTTTTCTAAGTTTTAAATTCTGAAAAAAACTTTAAAAGGTGTGTGTGTGTATATATATATAATTATTTATTTAAAAATGATTCCATCGCTACATAAGAGTTCTCATGTTTGAAACATGAGAACTCTTATGTATGATGGAATCATATTTTTTCTATAAATAATTATATTAAACTCTACTTTTGTATCAAGCACTGTTTTTTTAAAAATAACAAAAATACTAAAGAACTTTGGATTATTAACCTAACGAGTTCTTTCCTGTTTTCTACATATTTTCACACACACACACATATATCGCCCGTAGTTTGTAGTGTTGAAACATAATTGTAATTATGTAGCAATTTTTAACATGTTTTTTTTTTTTTTAATATCCTAAAACAATATATATATATATATATATATATATATATATATATATATATATATATATATATATATGAGTTTGTATGTTTGTATGTTTCAGTTTTAAGATTAATTTTAATTTTTTTCTTCTTCTTCAGACTCCTGGAATGCGAGCTGCAATGATTCGTCTGAAGATAGGCTGTGAAAATATGATCTCCCAGAACAAGGTAAGATACTGACAATGGAATTTATCCATGGAGAATTTTATCAAATGGTTGTCTTGTCTGTCTTATAATAGTTGCACTTTTGTGTTGTGTTTTGTAGATCACAGAATTGGAACAATTGGTTGAGATTACAAAAGACATGTTTGCATTGGATCGAGATGAAATGTTGTTTCAATTGATTAGAGGCTATGGTGAGTAACTGCTTCCAATTTTTATTTGGCTTTCTTTTTCACCATTCTTCTTGCATTGAGTTTGGAAATGTTTGATTAGATTTGAATGGATGTTTCTGGAAAGCTGCAACCAAGTTCCTCGGTTAGTCCTTCATTGACTAGACAGTTTCATCCCGTGTTGTTTCATTTCCTTTTGGTGTGAATAAAAACTTGGAGAAAACAAAGGAACAGAAAGTGAAATAAAGCTATGGGTTTGAATGATTGATTTGTTATTTTTTTTTACAGCTTATCAACTCTTTGTGGTTCATCTAAAGCCAAAACATATTTTGGATTGTAGGAGTTTGCTTACAATACCCAGTGTTTCCAAGTGGTCCCCCCCCATCTAAACTGACTGGGCTCAACACTGCTTAACTTCTGTGTTCAAAGAAGAACCAGAGTTTTCAGTGTGATTTGACCATAGGCCAATGGGGAGAAAATAAATCACAAATTTTGTTTTCAATATATTGGTTTCTTTATTACTTGTGGCTACTTCTATCTTCTCTCATGACAGACTAATGGACCAGATCTTTTCTTTGGTCAGCATGAATTCTGACTATTCCTCTGCAGCTACAAATTCTTGGCTACAATTACCAGTTTCTGATTGCCTTTGTCACTCATCTTGACATCTCCGAATGATGGCTTGTCACCTACTAACAACCAGTCTCTTTCTGACTTTTGTTACGACTCTCCTATATAAGCTCATGACTGGAATTCCCTACCTATCAGCCAAGTGACCTAAAGGTTTTTATAAAGAGTGCTACAGGTTTATAATATGAGGCTGTTATTGGTCACCAGTTTGTAGTGGGAGGAGTTCAGACTTGTTGCTGCTGATAATGATAGACTTTCAAAATAAATGAATTCAACACATGGAGGAGTTTTACATACATATTTATATAAAGAACATCATTGTTCATAAAAGAAGAGCATTAAAAAAAAAAAAGTAAACATGGACAAACGTGACTGCTATAAGACATTGTGTCAAAAGGACAGTTTTTCCCATGATACTGCCTTTTTAATTGCCTTCACTCTTCAGTGATGTTTGTTTTAAATTGCTATGGAGTTATCGGCCTTGATCAGGTAGTTTTGTCTGGGGAAGACTAGAACAATGGTGGACACATAAACATGTGCAAATCACGGCTCTATTCAATCCTCTCCCATCCGCTGGTTACATGTCAGTATTACCAAAAATAAAGGTTTAATAATAACAATATCTGATCTTCAACTTGATTATTTTGTTGTTATAAAAGCAGCTGAGTTTTCCAGTGGCATTCTACAAAGGACATTGCTTAAAGAGTATATTGTGGAGAATAAAAAGAAAAACAGCAACCAGCGAGTAAATTCAAGCTCTCCCAGCTGGTATTCCAACCTTGAGTCGTTCCTTCTTGAGTTCTGTCTCAAAATCGCACTAACAGACTTTTCTAGCCGCCAACCGTGAACTGCCCCCACTGGGAAAAAGTAGTTGCTTTTATATTTGTCCATATACCCATAATCCCTTGCATTTTCATGTGATCCCATAATTCATTGCGTCCCTGTCCCATAATGCATTGCATCTTTATTGCATAAAAATGCAATGCAAGCCCCCCCCCTCATTCTTTTACGTTATCTGGCCGAGGACGGATTATGGCAGAGCGGTAAGTGCTTTTTTCTCCCTCATTTCAACTGCAGTAGCTTTACATACTAAGCAAATACGGGCTCTTTTTTTGGCGGGGACAAGGCAAGTCGCAACCAGTTGTGCTCGTCCCAGGTTCTGTCTCATCATGTCTGCCAGAGTTTTCAATTGAAATTCCGTCTTTGTGTAGGTATTTTAACCCTTTGTAACCTGACCTGATTTTTCCCTAAACTATATCCCTGGTCTAATGAGTTTAAGTCATTGTCTAAGAAGTTACATTCATTTTTATCTGGGTTTACAACCATATCACGTTGAAAAACCAGCTCTTATGTGATCACTGAAGCTAAGCAACATCAAGTCTGGTCATTACCTAGATGGGTAACTACTTGGAAGTATTCGGTGCTGTAAGCTTCGATGTACAAGTGGTGTAATGAATAACAGCTAGGGATTGTTAATCGGAGTTCAAATTCCAGTCAGTTTTGCTATATTCACTTACATGCAAATACCCTTGGGAAATGTATAAATCCACCTCTTCTCCCTCCAACTATGGGTTAATTAGTACAACTTGTATTACTAAATCATTATCATCTCCAAATATTCTTATAATCTAAAAATTTTTTCTGGTTTTAAATAACCTGTAAATGATTGATTTGTTTTTTTTATTGCTTATCAATCATTTTAGCTTTTTAATCCAATGTATAATTAAGTAAATCTGACACTAATTTACATCCGTTTTACTCTATTCAGTTCAGAATGGCTGGATTGGTCATTTGTTTGTTTCATGACATAAATTTCACATACAGATTCACTTAAAAATCAACAAAATGTGGGTGCTGCTATTTACATTTCATACAAGAAAGGTTCTCTACACACCGGTTTGTTAGTGAATAGAGATTTAAACATTCTAGCACATCACCAGTATACCAATGAATAAGTATCTTAAAGCATTTCCTTTTTCCCTGATTGGAAATTCTACTTGGCCCTATATTATGGTATTTGGTTCCATATTGATTTGATTAGTAATTGCATCTATTTACAGTTGATTATTTTCAAAAGAAACTTCTAAGCTTGGTGAAACAAAATGTATGAGGGTAAATCAGAAAATAAAGGCAATTTTGAAATTGCGTTGAAAAAAAACAACTGGAAGACTACACCAGGCATGTCCATGGGATGATGGCTATCTAACCATGTGCAGCATTCAGTTGAGTGGCAGGGAGCAACAAAGTCAGATGTATGGACATCCTGCTTAGTAATTACACCATCAAGGAGTAACACATCATAGTGCAATTTCTGTGGGCAGTGAGTCGAATCTGTGGAAATCCATTGCAGGATGTTGGTATGTGTATCATGAATCAACAAAAGGTGTATGAGTAATTAGAATGTTTTAAACCAGGAAGAACAGTCTTGTTGCCCATCAACATCATGCACAGAAGGACAAATCCAGAGAGTGGAAACCTTGATCAGGGAAAACTGACAAATCATGTTAGCACAAGTGGCGGCAATTATGGGCATCAGCTATGGATCTGCACAAGCCATAGCGTATGAGCATCCTGGGTAAGACAATAAACTACATCCAACAGCAAGGCCTCTGATCAAGCAGTTTTGAAGAGTGTGGGACCACCTCTTAATTGCTGGTGTTCCCAGGTCCACCCTGAGCTGGGGTGGCAGCACTGGTTAGGGTCCCAGCTATAGGCAAATAGTTAACCCCCAAACTGGGGACAAAACGTGTCAGAAAAAAAAAAAATAGGTTTTAATACCAGCAAGACATTTTTGTAATATTTATTACCAGCAATAAATTTTCAAAGAAAAAATTATTGCCAGCAATACATTATTACTAGCAATACTTTTTTTGAAAAAATATTGCCAGCAATACATTATTATTAGCAATACTTTTTTGGAAAAAATATTGCTAGCAATACATTTTTGAAAAAAAAAAAATATTACCAGAAATACTTTTTGAAAAGAAATATTACCAGCAATAAAAATCTTGTCAGCGTTAAATAACCCATTGTAGTTGATATTATTATTATTATTTTTTATTTTTTTTATTTTTTTGCATTCAACCCCAAGCAATGCAGGAAGCCACTAGCATGCAAGGGGTTACAGAGAGTTGGTGCAAGAGCAAAGAGGAGTGATAGAGGAAAGGATGAAGAGAAGGTTGGGGGATAGATAAGGGCATCTGGAGACGCCGATTGACGTTACATTTGAATAGTTGGAGATTATAGTTATCAGGAAAACAAGAACTTGGGAGGGAGTTCCTCAGGCGAGAAGTGTGAGACATGAAGCTATTAGAGTAGAAGAGATGGCTACATTTAAAAGTTTCAACAGTGAAAGGGTGAGAGTGAAATGCCAGCCTAGTTGAACACTTAAATTCATGAAGTCTGGGAACCAGCAAAAGCAGCTCATCAGAGTAGTTACTGTGAAAGTATTTGTAAAAAAGACAGAGGGAGGCAACGGCACGTCTGTGAGAGATCAGCTGCAGACGAGATGCCTGATGCCAATTACATTGCATATCCGTCTTTGGATTTTAACAAGTACCTTGAGACAAATAAAAGGGGCTCCAGACCATATGTGGCACCAATACTCCATGCAAGGGCGAATGGTTGATTTGTAGATTTGAAGGATTGACTCCGGCGAGAGAAATTTCCTGGTGCGGCACAGGGAGCCGACTTTCCTAGTGGTGGACAAAGCTATTGACTCAACAAACATAGCACATGATGATTTGGGGAACTATAAAGTTTGTGCAAGTTGGATGCTCAAACAAGTAAGCAGTGCAGATGTGGCTTTGCAAGAGAGCTTAAGCAACTGAAAAGCTTCTTTTCAGAAGGGAAGTAATAGTTGGTTGAATTATACCAAAAATGCATTGCTATGCAGTAGGGAAATGTTTAAAAGTAATATGCATATGTTCTTTATCATTGGAACTAAAGTTATTGTATGGAAATTGCCTTTACTTTTTGATTTACCCTTGTATTTTGTGATACAAAATCAATAATTAATTTCTTCTGGTATGAGAAAAATGTTTAAAAATGAATTTGATTGGTAATTGTTCTGAAGAACTTTCCTCTATAGTACCTAGACTCTATGAACTTAAGTGCAGTACTAGATTGGCAGCAAGGCCATTTTACATTTGAAATGGTTTGATGTAACCATAAGTTCTATGCTAACACTTTCTTCTCTCGCACTTCTCTCTTGTGGAACTCTCTTCCAACTTCTTTCTTTCCAATCAACTTTGATCTTCAAAAATTTAAATGCAATGTCAATCGTTATTTTCAGTCTTCTTAATTCCTGTTCTTTTATTGTTCTCTGTCAATATTTTTCTTTTTCTAATATTCTTTCACACTCAGTAAACCCCTGCATCTGCTTTATTGCCTTGCTTGGGATAAAATGATTAAAAAAGAACATTGTCATTTCCATTGATTTATTTATATATATATATTTTGTATTCTAGTGAAAGTTGGTGATTTCAAAAAGGCTGAGGATGTGTTGAACCAATATGAGGAAGAAGGTTTCTCCCCATCTGGTCGGACATTACGCTATTTGGCCAAAGCTATGAAAGGAGCTGGATTGGAAATCTCGTTTGATGTTCCAACCATTCATAATGTAAGCTTTCTTTTCTTTTTTTATTTCTTAAATATAAGTTGCACTTATGGCTAACAAGATGTCTGGTCTGGCTGACTTTTCATAAGGATTTGCCTCTCTCGTCAGGACTAAAAATGGAAGGAAGTAAAAACACTTGAAAGATTAATTTATTTTCAGTGAGTGTCTTTAAGCCTCGAATAATTGAGATGGCAGGTGGAAATGACGTTAGATCCGAAATAGTTGGTGAGAGGGAACAAATGACATTTAAGTCCAAAATAACTTTAAAGACAATAATTATGCAAATGGTTTCTAATTTTGAGCTTTCTAGAAATCATTTATCTAAATGTAAACAATTGTCCTATTGTCATCACAGCACTTCAACCATTGTGATTTCTATCCTTCATTAGGTGCTTGTTGATCAAGGTAACCTTCAGGGAATTTCAAATTGGACCCTTTATTTAATCAATGGGAATAGCTTGTTCTTATTCTGCTAACAATATCTAAGGATACCTTGTCTAGTTCTCATTTAGTACTGCTCAATTATTGCTTACTACTAAGTCTAGCTAGACACTGTCCAGGGATTGAACTTACAATTACTATGTCACAGAACAAGAACAATCTATCCCAGTAGATTAAATAAGGGGTTCCGTTCAAAATTCCCTGAAGGTTACCCAGATTGAGAAGCACCCACTACCACTTTTTTATCAAGCTCAATTTTTGTACAAATCTGTGCAAAAAGCAGATCACAGAGCTTATTCAGCTTCATACATATTTTCAGAAAATCTCAACTTCTGATTAGTCGGTTAATATTTAAATCATGTCTGAATAACATCAACCTAGTTCTTGACCTGACTAAAAAAATAATTCCGCAAAATCTGTCAATGCCTTTTCGAGCCTGTCACGTGATTAAATTAATTATAACTACCAGACATGATTTCGTTTTTTCTCTTCCTTGATTTCTCTCATTACAAAATGTAGTTGTAACAAAAGAAATCACGTCTTGACCATTTACGGTCAGATGCTATGAAAAGATATTCACACATGCACACATACATGTATGTACAAAACTTTCCAAACTACATTACAAACTGATGAAGGCTGAAATGCTCTGATAACAACAACAAAGATGAGGACATTAGTCTAAATAATAACTCCTCCCAGAAATTCAGACAGAAATTATGGAATTGGTATGGACCTGATGTGAAGATGAAGGCAATACTCCAAATATAACTAATGTAAATAACTCATTCCAGAAATTCAGACAAATTCTGGAAATCAAAAGCAAAAAGAAATTGATCATCTTAACAGTAAATACTACAAACAAATAAAATTATTTAATCTTTTTGTTGTATCTAGTTTTGAGTTTTTAACTTTTTTTTGCCCCTGATAGGTTGGTTTTAATATTTCTGACTTTTTTACACATTCTTCAAGACAAGGTGACTTAAGGTCAAGGTTTTTTTTGTTTTTTGTTTTTGTTGGTGGTAATGTTTAATCTATTTCAGTCATTGTAGCCAAAGTGCATTGAATTCTTTTTTTTTTTTTTTCTGCTGCTGTTGTGCCAAGAAAATTGTTTTTTCTTAAAATATCTGCTTCAATTTGCATTTCTTTACATACAAAGAAAAACTAAAAGATTACACGGAATTTAATTGAACAAAGATTGACAGTGACTTTTGTTTGATGAATTCAGTTAAAATTGCTATAATTTTGTATAATATTTGAGATTGTATGAATTTTTAAAATTTCTTTTTATTTTCTAAAAAATTCCCAGGAAAAACTCAATGATATCATGAACACAGAAGATGAAATTTTACGTCACGTACAAGAAAATCGGATTCAAACTGCTAAAGATATGATAAGAAAGTAAGTTTAATTTTTTTCTTTTTCACATTAAATCTTCCATTGTTGTTGTTCTACTTCTAAACTAAAGTTTTTATTTAATTTATCATTCTGACTGATGAATAATTTCAGTTTTGGTTTTCTTTGCTGGAAATGAGGTAGTGGTGGGGTGAATGTGCTGTAGTACAATAGAAAAAAAAACTTTCACTCTAAAAATATTCCCTTCAAGATGATTTGATAATTTATCCTTGTGTATCACTGCCTATTGCAGAAAACAATTGATAATTTGTGTTTATGAAGAAGTTGGTGTTACTGACCAGGATTAACAAAGGCAAAAGCTTTCTATTATAGGCAATCCTTTCTTTCCATGACCTGCTTTTCTTTTTTTTATAATTCATGAGCTGAATCAGATCATTTAAATTTTTGAAAATCAAATTTGGCTGGAAAACAAAAAGCTATTGGAGAGTTCCATAAGCAAGATGTGCGAAAGAAGAAACAATTAGCATGTAACTTAGAGTTACATCTAGCCATTTCAACTTTCACAAAGTTGCATTACCAAAGATGGAAGATAGAAAAAGCTTGGGGAAGCTATATTACAGCAGTGGGAAAGGGACTAAAGCTGAGATGCCATATTGGGACCAATAACATTGCAGATTATCAACAATCTCTAAATATATAGAAGCACCAGACCAGATGTAACAGCAATATTCAATGTGTAAGTTAACTTATAAATGTGTAAAATAGATTCTGGCAAGAGAAATTGTCTAGCACAACATAGTCAATCAACTTTCCAAGCAGCAGACCTAGCAATTGATTAAATATTTTATGACAAATTAAGCATATCACTGAATTTTGTTTTTGATTTTCAGTGTTCAACTGACATTCATTGATTTTTACTAGCTAGGTTATTAGAAATTTAATGGAAATTTTATTTGGATTCTGAATTTATTCTACATTTGGGACTAGAAATATTTCAGCAGATGAATAAATTTTATCGTAGAAAATTTTTTTTCTTATAATTGATTTTTTACTTTTGCAATAGTTTTGTCACGCGATCTTTCTTATTTCACTTTTAATTTACGAGTTTATAGAACTAAAACGTTCTGCATGAAAAATTTTTGTCTGAAGTTACCTCCCTTTATTCAAAGAAAAAACTTGCCACATCATTTTTTTTTTTTTTAAATTTTTGTTTAAATCGACTTTTATTTTTTTATTATTTTTTTGTGCCCTTTGCTGTCTTACAAAATTGTTTTCTTAATTAAAATCTTAAATCACAACATTTTTCACTCAATTCTGTTTCACCTAAAGAAGTAGAGATTATTAATTGAAATAATTTGTTAAATATCAAAACCCAACTACAACTTAAGTTTTCCTGATGAACTTCATATAGCCGGAATGTTTAATCCCCTTTATTTGAAGTTTTCTATAGAAAAATCAGTAGACTTATAAAAACAAGCATTTCATTGAACCTTGTATTTACAAAGTAATTTCTCAAACTGGCTTTGTCAAATGATAAAGGATGCTCTGAAAGTAATGACATCTGTTTATTTCCACAAACTACAGCAGATACAGGGAGCACAATTTGAATAAAGCAAACTTTCACCTATAAAGCACAATTTTTCCATTGGCAATGCATTTTCTTCAGCAAAGAATATTTCATGGGGTAACATTCATGCAAGGCCATCCAGAATGTGGCTTCTCGTATGCATCACTGTTGTCATTGGTGAAATGCTTTATACACTGTGTTCACATCCACTGTTTGGTCTCTGTAGATGTTCTTTTTCTACATGAAGGAATTTAATAATACACTTCTCTTTTATATGCACTTTCATGTCAAGATGCCATTTTACCAGATTGTCACTCAGTTATCTTAAACAAGACCAATAAACATGACTTTTGGTAGGAAGGTTCAACCTCTATTGCTATACAACCATGGTGTGTGTCAGACATCATAGGTTAATTTAAACTGGAGGCATGATTTTATTGTAATTTTGCCAAAATTTATAAATTTATAAAAAAAATTTTTTTTTTTTTTTTTAAAATTTGTGGAGCAGTATTTAAATGAATGAAAATTAGGAATAAATTTCATTTTAAAGAATTAGGAACAATTGTATTTTCTGTTTTTGTTTTTTTTATTCCAGATTGGAAGCAAGTGGACATCATAATTCAGATTTGCTTGTCAAGATTGCTGAGTTCTTCTCTAAAGTGAACAAACATAAAGGTATATAATATTTAAGTTCCTATTGAATGTGAAGTCCTCAAATCCTAGCAGTAAAACCAGATCTTAATAGAGGTACAAAATTTAATCAATGCTATAAAAACATTGAAAAAGAAATTGGATAAAAATAAATGGCAATATGGGAGAAAACAAAATTAGAAACAGCTGATCATTTTTCATTCTTCCCTCTCATTGAACTACGATTAAAGAATTAAAATACTGTTCACAACAACTCAAAATGAGGATAAGACACATTTATCAATAATATATTAATGTGCATGTGTGTTATACTAGGTCTGATCAAAAAAGTATTGGGACTGGTGCTATAAAAAGAAAACTACAACACATATAAATTCAGCATTTAATCCCCTTCAAAGTAGTCCCCTTCTGAAACGACACACTTTATCCAGCATCATTTTCATTGATGGAAGCATCCCTGGAACTCCGTTTTTGGAATAGCAAGCAACTGACTTGTTGCATTCTCTCTTGAATTTCCTCAAAGTCTTGAAATCTTATTCATTTCAAGTGGGATTTGATTTTTATAGAGGAAAACGTCCCACTGGGTAAGATATGGGGAAGTTGATGGTCCTCGGACCTGGGTAATATTGTCCTTAGCCAAAAACTGCTGCACAAGCTATGGTCACTGATGGAACATCTGTGGTGAGACAACCACACTCTACACACTTCTCTTCAAAGCACTGTAGACAATGAAAGTGAGTGAAAAGGTTATAACTTAGTGTGTATGCACGACAGAGTTCAAGGTCAATTTGTGCCAAGGGCTTTCAGTCTGTACTTTTGCTCCATTATCATAGCAACAGCCCCAATACCTTTCGATCAGACCTCGTTTATATATATATATATATATATATATATATATATATACACACATGCTGCAAACAGATCACATACTAAGTGAACGCCAACAACCATTCTTTTTGTTGCTGAGTTTCAATGTGATCTCTTTGCTGCATCAGTGTGTGTAGGTATATGTATGTATTTATACTAAAACATGATACTAAAACATCAACTTCGGTGGGTGGGCCGCCTCTTCAGAATGGATGACAGCTGCATTCTAAAGCAATTGTTTTATGGTGAGCTGTGAGCAGGGAAGAGAAATGCCATCAAACCTAAGATGTGCTTTAAGGACTGCATCAAGGATGTACTGAAGAAATCCAACATTCCTTGTGAGCACTGAGAAGAATTTGCATCTGATCACAATAATTGGAATAAGACTGCTCAGAGCGGAAGTCATCACTTTGACGAGGTGGCACGCAAAGCTTAAACATTTTAATGTCACTAACTGTAAATGATAAAAAAAACATTTTGATTTTGGGAAAGTTTTTGAAAAAAAATTTTCAGGTTTTTTTTTTTTTTTTTTTTTGTTTTGTTTTGTTTTGTTTTGACAGGGTGGGGCTGTTCCAGGATAATGGTAAAAAAAAAAAAAAAAAAGTTTGGAATGCTGTTCCTCTGATTTTTGCCTTGATACTATACAACATTTCTAACATCTGAAACGGTGTTTTCAAATTTCATGAATGAAGTTTTACATTTTGTTTCACATAAATTTCCTTGAAAATGTAACAACAAAATTCTTTTTCTGCAAAAGTAATTTTACTTGTGCGCATGTTGTTATCTCCCTTGGGCTTATTTTTAAAAAGATAAATGATAACTGTATATTACTTGTTTCTCTGACTTTCACTCCGGTTATTTCTTTATCTGATCAGAAATGAACTCACTTTCATTCATTTGTTAATGTTATTTCATTTTAAAATTCAGAAGTTGGCTGGGTGATGCAGATGTTAGCAGACCATGGTGATGTTGAGTCTTTGCTGCTTCTTAAGGCAAAACACATTGCTGCAAACATAGATGTTTTGAACAAGTGTGTCTTTACTGCATATGTCAACAGGTATATCTTTTTCCCCCTTCTCTCTTTATACACCCCTTCCCCCTTTCAGTTTGTATGCTCTTCTCCCCTCTCTTTATATGCCCCTTTTTTCCTTCTCTGTTTATAGACTATTTTTTCCTTCCTTCTCAGTTTATATGCCCATTTTTCTTTTCTCACCCTCTGTTTATACATCCCTGCTCTTTTTTTTCCCTCTCTCTCTCTCCATTTAGATGCCTCATTAACCCTGGCAGAAATGACTGCCATTTTCAGTTGGTTCATAAATGTTAGAATTACCCATCATCCTTGTTTAAAAAGAAATGCATTTAATGTTTAAATGGTGTTTTCTTTGACTTTAAAATACTAAATTATGGAAATCATTTATTTTATTTTTTTTCCCTAAACATTTTCAAATTTTATTGTATCTATTGATGTCTGCTATTAGCAAACCAAATGTGTATGCATTTTTTTGTGTCTTCTATAAATCCTCTTTAAAGTAAAACAAGATTCAGAGTTTGTCTATATTTCTGAGATGAGGTATTATGTACAGTATTTACATTAGTCGGACTATTGTCCTCATCTTTGTCATATATTTGTCACAACGTTTGGCCGTTTATGCGCTCCAGCCTTCTTCAGGTGGTTGGAATTTCGAACTGAACCCTTTATTTCAATCACTGTGGTAGACTGTTCTAGTTCCACGTACCATGTTTGATGGATGTCAGTTATCTCCTGCTAATTTTCCCTCTGAAAATTCTCCACTGCCTTAAACGGGTATTGAACTCACACTCTTTTGGGTCTGTCACTGGATCTAACCAACGCCTTTATCCACTGTGCCATGTGAGGACATCTGGGTATGAATTTCTGGGTATTATAAACCTAATGTTTTCAGTAACCATTTTTTACCAGTGCTCATATTGCAATTTTTGCTGTTATCATTGCATGTTTTTACCAGAGCCCATATTGCAACTTTGTTATCATTGCTTTTCTCTGGCACTCATTATTACTGGTTCCCATATTGTATTTATTTCTATGCTTGGTCAGCTCAGCATATGTGCTGATTCCTTAAGTTTACGAATTTTCCAATGGTGTTCCCTGTCTATGATTATTCACGTTAAACAATGCTTAGGTAATTTTATGATTGGAATAGTCATAGTTTTATTAAGATATTATAATCCTTTGATAAAAGTATATCTAGATGTGTGATCACTTGGGAATACCAGGTGCTGTAAGCTTGGATGTGCAGGTGGTGTAATGAGTAATGGCTCAGAATTAGAAATTGGAGAGCAAAGTTCCAATTCTAATCAGGTTTATTATGTTCATTTATCTGCAAATACTCTTGGGAAAGGCACGAATCCACCTCTTATCTCCCCAGCTATGGGTTAATTAGTAGGACTTGTATCAGTAAATCATTATTATCTTCAAAATCATTCTTACAATCTATAAAAATATTGTCTAGCTTTAAACAACCTGCAAAAGTTTGATAAGCTGTAAAAAAAACAAAATATATTGATGTTCATTTAATGAAACTTTAACAGGAAAAATAATAAGTTTAATCTTTTCCAATGATTTTTTCAACCCATCAAATGGATCAATTTTAAATTTGATTTTTCAAACAAATTGGCATAAAATATTAAATTGCAATTTTTTGTATTTTGTCTCACAAATGAAGAAATGAAGTTATTGACTCAATGATGAAATACTTAAATTAATTCATTTTTTCTTTAATAATTTAGGATCAGTTTTTGTTTTGTTTTTGTTTTTTGCACATTAATAGATGGCTTTAAAAGAATCTTTTTTATTTCCTTTAAATGAACTATTCAATTTTATATTATTCTGATTATTGTGTATGATAATGGTTTCCATTGATTTTCTTTTTCCAGCATTTCTTTTATTTCTCTAAGATTTCTGATAATTCCTTTGATTATGATTCTTGCGAAGTTGTTGCTTTCAAACTTAAATAAAATCCCAATATGTTTCTTTTTCTTTGTAGTAATCGAATACAAGAGTTAATTGATCACCTGAATGAAAACCTTAATTCTGTAGTAAGTTATATTTCTGTCAGAGGTATGACAGCAATTGCAGATCAACACCAGGATCATTTGGTTTACTGTAAGATTTTTTTTTATTATCCTTATTATTTTCCTGCCCTTTCTTTTTATTTTTATATAGATGCTGATAGATTCTTGACCTACTCAAAAAGAAATTTTTTTTTTTAATTTCTGATATTTTGTCAAGTTTTTGGAAGTTGGTTGGAATGAAGAGTAGAAAGAATGGTGGGGGGGTAATTTTCCGTGTGCTTTAACATTATTTGGTTCATTTTTCTGATGCATTGAAATTGATAAAGAAAATTTTGAATTTTTTGTAATAACTTTTTTTTTTTTTTTCTTCATCAGTTACTACTATTAAAAAAAACAACTTTTAAATTTTCCATGGGTTTATCAATTTAACCCTAGAACACTAACCATCAAATAAAGTTACATCACTACTAATCATGGGTATATCATACCCGATTTCAAAAATATCAAAAAAAAAAATATTACACATAAATCTTTATTTGAAATATTTTACATGCAGGCACTTCAAACTTTGTACTTTGAGTTAACATAAATAGGAACTGAAAAACAATATTTAGGTAAGAAAATCAGGTACTGAAAATTGTAATTAAAAATAGGAAAATTTGTGCTGGGTACTATATACCCATGGTTAGTGTTCTAGGATTAATATGTAAAATTTTTACATGTTAAATAGATCAGTCACTGAAGCATTGAACCAATTTTTACTACTACCTAATTTGTTGTGGGGGGGCATACTTTGGCTATTAACTTTTTTAAACAAGATTTAAAAATTAACTTTTTTTTTTATTAAGATATGGTATGTAAATTAATAGAAATTAAATTTAAACTCATTTATTTTTGTTTTGTTAATAAAAATAACAAAATATCATAAAAATTGTCATTTGGGTCCTGCAAGTTTGTTGTAACCTAGAAAAGGTTATTGAATGAGGAATAACCAAGAACAGAGGTAGGAAATGAAATGGTAATCTTTATAACATTAACAAAATACAATACTCGCCAGTTGTGTGAAGTAGGTAAACCATTGCTAGTGGTGGACTACTTAGACAGCATATTACCCTCACTTACAATATTTACAACATATTTATGAGAATTGGGAAATACCCATTAGTGTTCATGGGTACGGTATATAACAAAACTGTTTGAACTTGTTTTTAAGATTGATTATTATAAGAATGTCAACTTTGCATGATTTGAAAACTTCACTCATTTAAGCAAGCGTTTTGGCTTCCAATTTTAATGAAACTTTTTAATCTTGTATTTTTCTCTTTTTTATCCCACAGTTGAAGAATTAGCAGAAAAATGTTCCTTGCCAAATCAGAAAGCAATTCTTCGCACTTTATGGCAAACTTTATTCTACAAGAACCCACAGTGTCCAAGAGCATCTGCTATTTTACAGGTTTGTAACAAAGTTTGTCACATTAACACATACTTACTTATGTAATTAGAGATTTGTTTTCATTTAATCACATTATTTTACCAAATATGAAAAATGTACTTTCAATCTTGTGAGCCTTTTGTTGAGCCACAGTGTTGAATAATTTTTTCTTTCAATTTTTTTTATTTTAACAGTTTTAGTTATTTAAAAAAAATACTTTCCCTCATAAGCACAACAGGTCTTGACTAATTGGCACAAATTGTGTTTTTTAAAGATCTTTCTTTCATCATTCATATCAAAGAAGTCTTTGTGATCTGAAAGCTATCAGAAAATAAATCAACTTGATTACTAAATGGAATTAATAAACACATATACAGTGCTTATAGGTAACTATCAGTACTGTATGTGTATTTATTAGTAAGTGATAAAGAGTGAATTCAAGGAGAACCTAAGAATAACAACTAATAATTTAAATAAGTTAACCTCACCTGTTAAACCCACTGGCAATAAGCCATTATATTCAGTCTAATTAATGATAGATAAAGTAGTAACAATAATACAATTATTGAGATCTGATTGTTCAATGAGGCCTGAGGTTTATTTTTTTTATTTTTTTATCATTTCACCCCCAAGCAAAGTGATAATGCCACAGAGACACAAGGGGAGTGAAAGAATGAGAAGACTTTAGTGAGAAGAAAGGGCAATAAAAAATAGACAACAGAAGATTGCAATTGGATTTAAATTTTTGAAGATTGTTGGTGACAGGGAAACTGACAGTTCTAGAGGCAAGAAAAACTGTTAACTATGCAGACTCTTGTGGTCATACCTAGGATTGAACCATGTCTAATAAATTCCTGTAGACTTCTGCTCCTCAGCTTTGTTCTAAGCAGTGGCAGTAACTTGTCTTCCTTTCTGCCAAAGTGGATTTAGCCTTTAAGCATTAAGTTTATTGAAATGTATTTATTGAACATTTTTCTGGTGAAATGCTGTCACTCAGTTTATTGATCAAGATCCTGTTTTAACAAACTATTAGAATATAACATACGGTTACATCTAGCTAGTTCAACAGTGAAAGGATGAGACCTATCTGCCAATCTAGTAGTACACTTAAATTCATGGAGTCAAGGCATCAAGGGGAGAAATGGTCATCAGAACAGTTACTATGAAAATATTTATAGAAAAGACAGAGGGAAGCCATGTCACGTGGGTGAGAAAGTGACCGAAGTCAAGCTGCCAGGTCAGGATCGATTATATTACAGACCCTTCCTTGAATTTTGTCAAGAGTCTTGAGATATATCAGAGGAGCACCAGTCCAAACACAGATGAATGGTAGATTTATAAATGTGGATCCAGACAAGAATTGTCTGAATCAACACTGTGAACCAATTTTTCTAGCAGTGGATGTAGCAATTGATTCAATATAATCACTTCATGTCTGGGAAACATAAGCCCAAGAAGCTGCAAAGAGTTGCTCTCCAAGAGTTTAGCATCAGTCATGCTTGATGGTAGGCATAAAAGGTTCTGATAAAATGAAAGAAGTTTTGTTTTGGAGGTGTTAAAATTTATGAGCCATGTCAAAGTATTGCAATAAGATTGCATCACTATTTTAATCAATTAAGGTTTATTCCATTTAGTCAACTATTTTATTCAAGTCACCGTTTCCTCAAGGATTGTGGAACTGGTAAAGGGTAATCAAGCCCAATATTGTTTTTTTGTTTTTTTTTGAGGAAATTTATTTGGTGGGTATAAATTATAATTATAAATGGCATCTTTTTTATTTTCTTTTTCAGAAACACTCTGAAATGCTTAATCAAATGAGTGTCCTTGGCTTGTGTCAGAAATCAGTACATGAAAATAAAGTAAGCATTTCTTTTCCTTAAAGGATATTTTATATTTACATATAATGGAGAACAAGCTTCTAGCTACTTTCACATTACAGCATAATATAAATTGCGCTCACTGTCAACAGTTTTCAGTCTTTTATTACATATCATGAACACATGGGTTCTTTTTTTTCTTCTTTGGATAATTCTTGGTAAAATACATACCATTTTCAGAGGATGTTTATGAGTTTAACCTATTGCAAAATGTTTTTATCAACTTCAAACTTTCATCTTTAAATAGTGATGATCTTTCACTTGACTCAAAATGTTAATACCATATCAAAATGCTTGTTTTCTAGTAGCAATTTTCTTTTTCACTTCTACAAATCCTTTCTAAGATGAACATTTTGTATTTTTCATAATTTTCTTGTTTTTTTTTTGTTTTTTTTTGTCCCTGCAGTTAGATGTATTGACAGAAATGGAAAAGTTATTTTATCAGAAGAAACAGACAATTGCTTTTATCAAAAATCATATCATACAGCTTCATGGTAAGTAGATTTCAGTGTCTGTTTCTTATTGAAATTCTTAGCTGCCATTGAGGTTGCTGCTGCTGCCATATGGACAGGTGGTTGGCATCCAAGCCAGCTCCCCCACTAACTTTTCTGCTGGTGTGGAGGGTAGCATGTCACCCTACAGGACAGAAAATAAGACGTGTCAAGGGCATGAACATCTTATAGGAGCCAACACGCACACACATTATATATATATATATATATATATATATAACAGGATGGATCTTAAGCCTTGAATGCCAACCTTTCTAGAGACAGTGTCTTGATAAAAAAAAAACATTGTGTATTTGAACTACCGTGAGTGTCTTGTGTTGGGCATCAGGATGAGCATCCAGCCTTGTAAATCCTTTCCTCAAATAATCTTTTGCCATGATTTGTGTGAAATTAATCTTGGTTTTGCCTCAACTGCTATCTATCTTTCTATGTATGCTTATTAAGTACAAAAATCAAATATCACTTTTAAAAATAATTATATTTTCTCTTAATACAATTAACCAGTGTTAACACTAAAATATATAAAAAAAATTTTTTAAGTCCAGAAATCTTATAAGAATTCTATTCAAAGTGGATGAGTTGACCATGAAAAAGACAGCAGAAATTTTTGTAATGTCTTCATGGAAAATGAGATTTGGTATCTGTAATGGATCAGGTCAAGAATGTTCCCAGTTTGGGAAAAAATTAAACTTTTAACCTTGACTACATCTGGCAGCAAGGTAGATTAGGGCTTTTGGGGAGCCTGGAACTACCTCTTAATTGCTGTTGTGTTCCCAGGTCCACCCTTACCCTGGGTGGTAGTACCTGTTAGGGTCCCAGCTATAGGCAAATAGTGAGTCCCAAAACAAAAACACTTTGAAAGTATAAAAATACATTTAATAGAAAAAAATACCAGCAAGACAAGTGGTTGGTTAAAGATAGGGCTGAGAGAGATTTTTTAAACCCCCCCCCCCTTCTCTCACCTTCCCTCCTCACTACCAATCTAAAGTGTTCGTCCGGTGTACTTTCTCCATTTGCAGAGAAAGTTTTCATTCTGATGAGATGAATATCTCGGTGTTCATGAAATAAAAATTATAAACAAAATGGATAAGTAAAGCCTTCATCTACTTATTATTGATATATATATATATATAATGTCATCCACAGACAGACTGTTTCGCTGTTTCACAGCTCATCAGTGTGGCTAGACATCTGGTTGCCTCTAGCTGGGATCGAAACCCGACTGAATTGGTGTCAGTTGGAGATTCTAACCATTAAGTCGTCGGCGCACAGTAGAGATGACGGTGGATTTTAGCATATTTATTTTTAGAAACACGCCCAGTGACCGACAGTGACTCAATTCGCATTTGAGAAGAGTCTCGCTATATAGCTATAATAGTCACTGTTTACCAACCCACACCTCCTCCCCAGAGAGCTCAACTGAAATTAATTTTTCAGGAGCCAATATAACGTAATTCATTCAATTTATTTGTTTAAACACTCATTTTGAAATGGATACTCTGTTTTTATTTATTTATTTATTTAATATTTCAGCTTACCTTTTAAAAGTTCAATGATAATGTGATAGGGGAATTTCTATGGATATCAAACTGATATTGCAAAAAGATATTTTTTTTCATTTTGTGAAGTATTTATTTTCACATTTTCATTTTTTTTTTTTTTTTTTTTTACTTAGCCAAAAATGGTAATGTTGAAGGCTGCCTTTCTGCATTTGAAAACCTGAAAAATGATGGCTTTGACGAGAGCTGCTTGAAAAAGGCTGTTGTCATGCAAGTGGAAAAGTTGATGACCTTGAACCAAAGACCAATTCCTTGGAAGGTAATATTCAAATCTCATTACAATGTTCGAATTCATTCACCTTTTATCAGGATATTTATAAAGATAATGAGAATCATTCTTCCATATGAATGTATATTAACTAGAAGTGTTTATTACTGGGATGAATCATCCTCCTTCTCTAAGAAGGAAGTTTCACTTAGACAAGCTTCTTTCCCAGTACTCTTACTTTGTGGATCACACTCCTGAAAGGATGCTTCCCCCAATTGCTACAATCTTAACCACTTCAAGTCTAGGGGTAACCATTATCTTTTATACATATCCTCATAAGCTGCACTTCTTACGTTCACCTCTTACATACAACAATCTCATCCAATAACCCTCTACTTTATGTGGCTCTTTGGCTTTGTATTGGGTGAAGAATAGTAAATATATGAATGCATCATATTTTTTTGTTTAGTTAAATAATTTAGTCTATTTAGTTTTAATCCTTTCAAATCCACAAATTAATTTCTTGGTGGCTGTAGAAAATTGATTAAGAAAAATTACAAAATTTTCTTTCAAATAATTTTTATTTTCCCAAGCAGTTTCAATCTGAGACCATCTTCAGGGTGTTAAAATATCTGTGGATGCGTATATATAAGGAAGTTGCTTTGTTATCATGTGTTCTTACTAAGGACTGAACTCACAATCAAAAAATTGGTAACAGAAAAGGTAGTCAATTATTTTTTATCTGTTGCTTAACCAATACAAGGCCCAAGGGCCACTCAAGGTTTTAAAAGGTATGCTGGACGAAAATGAGAAGCCTACCTGAAAAAACTGAGACTTTGCTAAAAAAAATATTTTGCATATATATTTCTACAAAGATTGCATCAAAACTCTATTTCCCTCCCAGCCCTCAATCTTGCATTCCATTCTATGCTTTTTGTTTACACATTTTTTTTTCTCTTTTGCAGACCCAAACGGTAACTGATTCTTCTTCTTCTTCATCATCAGACAGTTCTTCGGATGAAGAGACAGAAATAAAGGGCAAAAGTCAATGAGAAGCAGCTGACTAGCTAATCAAAGGCTTTGTTTGTTTAGTATTAAGTAGGATTTAATCAATGGACTGACCTTTTTTCTTTTTTTTAAATTTTTTTTCTTCAGTGTCAAAGGCTGTGACTTAAGCCAAATGGAAATGGGAACAACAAAAGTACAAAAGTTTGTCTTCACTTTGTCACCATTAACAAATCGTTCCCTGACTTTACTCAAGCATTTTTTTTCTTCTCTTCATAACTTGTGTGAAAAGTTTTTCAAAGAAAAACACATTTTCATTACTTTCTTCTAAACATGAGTAGAGATGAACACTTGAAAATTTAACAGTGAGGACTTGACAAACTTGTTGGATTTCCTTTGGAATATTCCAAGCAATAAACACCATGCAAAAATATTTTGTTAGCTGCTTGCTTTTTTTTTTTTTTTTTTAACTTTATTTTTATGACTTTTGTAAATTGTAGGTCACTCCATGAAGGCTTCTGATATCATGTAACCCAATACTACCAACCTCATTCTCAGGTCATTGGTTACTAAATTGGTTCCCCCACCAGGCCTTTCTTATGAGAGACACTCAGAAGAATTAAAAATCAAGACCTGTCAAAGGACGGATGAAACTTATTATAGCGAGATGTTTCCGATAATGTGATAATTATCTCATTATAGAGAGAAGCTCTGTATATTAAACATCTCTCTCCTACTAATAACCTCACATTATTTAACAGTGGCAATGGAGTGTTAAAAGTTTTTAAAAAGTAGAAAGATGCTTACTTGAATTGCAGCTGTGTGCAACATTTGAAGACTCAGAATGAATGCTCCTATTCAAAACAACACAAAAATAATTTACAATGCAACAGTTAAAAACACAAGGAAAAAAATAATACCAGAAACAAAACACCCTTGAAAATGACTATAAAAGTGGCTGAAAACGCTTGGGATATTACTTCTACAAAACAAAAAACATAAGGATGTTAGAAAAACTTAATAAAAAAAAAAAAAAATATATATATATATATATATATATATATATATATATATATATATAAGCAATAATCCATGGTATATAATCCAAGTGAATCCTAATAATATAAAATATTAAAACTGATTCATATAGAGAGCTCAATGTTTTATTCAAACAGAGCATATAAATTACATACAAAAGGAATTAAAATTGAATAATGAAAGAAATGGAAAACTACTGCAGAAAAAAAAATCTGCCTCGTCAGTCATGTATCGAAAGATACATGATCGCCTAAATGTGTATCATGCATGACACATAACCTTTGTCTGTAGTATTAATCACTTAGTAGGACTCTGTTTGTTTTAATTGGTCCTAGAGATGTGAAGTAAGCCTTCTTGATAAGCATCTAGTGCAGTGGTTTCCAACCAGGGTTCCGCGAGTAAAGCCAAGGGGTTCCGCAAGAAGTTACACAAGTACGATGAATGATATAATTAATTTATTGCAGGGGTTCCTCGAGCCACTGGAATGTTTCCTTGTGGTTCCGCTCCAGCAAAAAGGTTGAAAACCACTGATCTAGTGGAATGTCCAATATAATTCAGTCAACAAGAAAATTAAGTTAATTATCTACTATAAAAAATTTAAAACTCAATCTCATTATCAACACTAACAACTCCCCTGCATGATCCAAATTACAGAGGACCAATATTATTTATGTATTTACATGCACTTTAAGGAACTGTGTTCCTGATCAAACCAAATTCATGAATAATAATTATATTGGACATACCACTACATGCTTATCAAGAAGACTTTATATCTCTCGGACCATAACTACATTTAGCCCATTTAAACACACACAGAGAATTACCAACCTCTAGCTAGAACATACTTCTGGAAAATATAATCATAATAGCTTCATCCACATGTAACAGTTAAAAATAATTGAAGCATTAATAATAAAAAAGCCAATTCTCAATAATATCAACTATGAACATGGCCACAATGTACTGACTGTGTTCGTAAATAAAAAAAAAAGTTCTTATCACTCTTTATTTTTATATATATATATATATATATATATATTTTTGAAACTTGACTAATGCATGGAATAATAATGCAACACAAAATGTACTTAGAACAAAATGTATTGAAACAAGAAAGTGTACACAATATTTACATATAGTCTTTTGTATATTCCTGGTAAGACCGTTCCTGGAGAATGTGTTGACTGAGTCGCAGTCGGGCAGAGTCTCTGGTTGAATCTCTTGATTCCTCCCTCTCTTCCCGGTACCAACCATATTTATATGGTCGGTACTCCACTATGCAAATTAGGTGGATCCTACCACAACAATATTATATATATATATATATATATATATAAAATCTACATAGGATTAATACAAATATAAAATTAGTCACTTGATTGGTGTTATATTCAGCACCCTGACTCCAAAGTTTTGTAGCATTCAGTCCACTTACAACACGGCTACCTGGCTCAATCCTGGGTCCTTTCCATACAGGGTCAGTACTGCCACTGGCCAATTCATGGTTATCTGCTTCTACTCCACATCATGTTCCTTGATCACAGAGCAGTGAAGATCAAATTTCATCCATACCTGAGCACTGGGTCAAACCACAGCAAGACCATGCTACAAAAAGACAAAGAACGTTTCCGCTAAGCAAAAATAAAAATGGTTTACATAGCTCTTGATACAACAAAATTAAACCTTCCCATTAAAATCATGACATGTTATCTTTTTCCTTCTAAAATTTGTAGTGGGTAAAAAAAAAAAAATACAAGATGTCGGTTGGGAATTCTGGAGCAAGACCCAATGCCAGAAATTCTCTTGGCAGTAGGTCATGTGGCTTCTTCTGGCCACTGCCAGCCTCTGAACCCTTTTGCTGGCTACTTATGCCTGCTGAATCACTTAAGCGCTCTGTTTATATGTATTTTTTCCCGACTCCTACCGCACCACAAGATTCATTAATATTCATATAATTTCAATTTTTTATCTCTTCAATTTTGGAGAACCAATACTGACCTTCAAACAAAGAGGTTACTTATTCAAAACAATACATTCTTTGACAACAACTATGTTTATAAATTCTTTTCTTTCTTGTTGACTTTTCAATATGACCGATAAAAATCTCATTGTTTACATTATTGCCTTTGTGGATAATAATTCCATTCTGCTTTTGACTTGTATTTTATTTTCTCAAATCATATTTTGGACATTCAGTGTTCCTGGTTATCAGAAAGGAAAAAAAAATTTTTTTCCTTGCTCCATATTTCAATTCATGTTTTCACCTTAACATTTTTAACTCTTCCAATTCTGCAATTCCTATAAGGGTTTTCAGATGAAGCCTTTTAATCCCAATTTAATACTACCAGTGTCACATTCCTCTCTTTCCCATTTCCGTCATTTACTTGTAAATGACCCCCCCCCAAAAAATAATGAAAACAACAGTAGTTATTTATGCATCATTTTCCTACTAAACATGCAGTGGAATTAAAAAAGTTTTTCTTCTCCGGTCTATGGGCATGCATATTCACATTGGGTGTTCGCATCACCCCTTACAATTTAATCTTTATACCGGTTTTTATGCTTTGTTTTCCTGATTGACTTCCCTCTCTCCACAATAGGAGGTTTTAGTTTTTCCCTGACAAGTGATGTTTCTGCTTTCAGTTCTGCTGAATTCAACCTGGTTTCTTCCTCATCTGGTTTAAATCTTCTTGGGTAAAGAACACTAAATGGCATCCCATTCTTGATTTGAATCAAGCTTGCCAATACCTCATCAATTGATTTCTTCCTATGTTTTTCAGCTTCCATATTGCTGTTGTTATGGCAACAATAACTATTAACGTACATACCATGGCTGACCAGTTTATTATGGTCTCAGAATTATATTTCTAGACTTTACTCTCTTTTCCCATTGCATTTCATTTGTCTTTCAATTGTTTCAAGACTAATTTTCTCAACTAGCTTTCATAACTTCAGCATCTCCTTTTAATGTAACTTCAGGGAATTTCTCCACCACTGGTTCCCACAATTCTGTCCCATTACTTTGACCTGTTTCAATTAACTTTACAATTGAATCTTTATCTTTGTATTCTATGGTTCAGCTCCTTCATTCTGGCCACACTCAGCCCAACTAGCTCACCTTCCAAATTGTTTAATAGCAACTCATATAGGTTCAATCTGTCACAAAAGTGACTAACCATTTCAATCTTGCTATTATCACTTCACTCATTTTTCTGAAAATCATATTTTGGCTTTGCTTCCAAGCTCCTATCATAATCATCATCATCAGTGGTATCAGACCCTTCACACCAGCCATCTTCTTTTTCTTCTTCTGTGTATTCTTCTTTGTATTATCTTCTTCTTCAGGGCCATATTTTCCCTATTTTGTATGTTCTAATTTGTTAACTATTAATATGATTGTGGACAGTCTTCCCTCCAATGTGCACTGTAAATTGTCTCCATGACCCTTTGTTGCTTTAAATTTCATGGCTCATTCACCAGAGCCAGACAATCCACTCACTAGTAATAAGTCACTATTACCAAAATATATCTCGTATATGTTCTTGTAATCTTCCTTGATTACCAATTCTTCAAAACCAATATTTCCACATACCACTGGATGGATCACCTGGTAGCCATTCACCAACATTTCCTTTTTTGTGTCTCAAAAACACTTTACAGGCTAACATTACATCATCTTGACACACTATGAGCAACAACCAACTCAGTGGCCCAAAATCCCCTGTCGAGGCTCAGCCTTCACCCAGCAACAAGGTGTTCCACAACTATTAATTCAATTTAAAAAAAAAAAAAAAAAAAAAAAAAAGAAGACCTTACCAGTGACACTAAGTTCAGATCTATCCAACAATCAACTGACAAAAAAATACAGTAAATTTCCTAAAGAAGCCTAATTTCCATCTATAGAGCAATTGGCCCCATCACCCGATTCATATTCACTTATTTTCTCTGTCTAGCTAACCATCACATGGGAAAAGAGAGACAATCCAACAAAATCGAGTTACAACAA